AATATATTTATATAAATATAAATTATATAAATAAATAAATTGTTTATTTATTTTATTTATTTATTTATTTCTGGAGATGCCAGAAATAAACCTCTCATCTATCTACAGCTGACTTTTTTTTTCTTTCTAACAATTTTATTGTTTTTACATTTCCTCACATGTGTATATACTATTTGGGCCACCCCACCCCCTGCAGCCAGGCAAAACCTGTTCCACCCTCTTGTATCCGATTTTGTTGAAGAGAAAACATAAGAGATAATAAAAAAAAAACAGACACAGCGTTTTGGACTAGTTTGAGATAAAGATAACTATACAGAGAGATTCTTAGCATTGCTTCCATGCACTTGTGTATTGAAACCCACATTGGTTCATCTCTGCCAGACCTTCTCACTACTTCCTGGTCCCCTTTCCATAGTGGCCTCTGCCAGTTTAAGATTACTATATTCACTCCTCAACATTGAGCACATCAACCACATTCAAGTTTTAGGTTTCCTTCCCTTTCCCTATTCCTCCCATGTGTGGTCTCCCCTTAGTATGTGACCCATGTCCAATAATATAACTGCATTTATTTTAGGTCTATAATCTTCATATAAGGGCGATATGTGATTTTTGACCTACTGAGCCTGGCTAATTTCACTGAACTGTTCTCCAGTTCCATCCATTTACTTGCGAATGACAAAATTTCATTCTTCTTTGTGACTGAGTAAAATTCCATTGTGTATTAATACCACATTTTCTTAATCCATTCATCGATAGTGGGGCATCTTGCTGTTTCCATAGCTTGGCAATTGTGAATAGTGCTGCAATAAACATGGGTGTGCAGGTGCCTTTGTAATAACCTAAGTCGAATTCCTTCAGGTATATCCCTAGGAGTGGGACTGCTGGATCATATGGCAGATCTATGTTTAGTTTTTTAAGAAGCCTCCATATTGTTTTCCAAAGTGTTGTACTAGCTTACAATCCCACCAGCAGTGTATGAGGGTTCCTTTTTTCCCTCATCCTCACCAATATCTGTTGGTGGTGTTTTTGATGATAACTATTTGAATAGGAGTGAGGTGGTTGTTTTCCAAAGTGTTGTACTAGCTTACAATCCCACCAGCAGTGTATGAGGGTTCCTTTTTTCCCTCATCCTCACCAATATCTGTTGGTGGTGTTTTTGATGATAGCTATTTGAATAGGAGTGAGGTGGAATCTTTGTGTGGTTTTGACTTGCATTTCCTTTATGGCCAGGGATGGGTGAGTATTTTTTCCTGTGTTTTTTAGCCATTCGGACTTCTTCCTTTGAAAAAGTTCTGTTTAGTTCAGTTGCCCATTTCTTTATTGGTTCATTGATTTTTTGGGAGTTTAGTTTTTTGAGCTCCCTGTATATTCTGGTTATCAGTCCTTTGTCTGATGTATAACTAGCAAAGATTTTTCTCCCACTCTGGTCTCTTCAATTTAGAGACCATTTCTTTTGTTGTGCAGAAGCTTTTTAATTTCATGTTGTTCCATTTGTCCATCCTTTCTCTTTGCTGCTGGGCTGTCTACAGCTGACTTTTAATTAAAACATACATTGGAGAAAGGACAGCCTCTTCAATAAATGGTGCTGGGAAAACTGGATATCCGCATGTACAAGACTAAGACTTGAACCTTACTTTTCATGCTGTAAAAAATCAATTTAAAATGTATCAGAGACCTAAAATATAAAACCTGAAAGTCTGAAACTACTGTAAGAAAACCCTTTTAGGTATTAGTATAGGCAATGATTTTCTGGATAGGGTTCCAAAAGCTCTGGTAAGAAAAACAAAACTGGACAGATGGGACCACATGAAACTAAAAAGCTCTTGTACAGGAAACAAAACAACAGACAACATACAGGACAAGAGGAAATATATTCCAACTCTTCATCTTGACAAAGGCTAATATCCAGAATACATATGGATCTCAGAAAACTTAACAAAAACACCAGTTCAATTTAAAAATGGATAAATAATCTAAATAGGCACTTCTCAAAAGAAGAACAAATGATCAACAAAATATGAAAAACATTCTCAATATCATAACGCATGAGGTTTTTCTGGTAAATACTGTCAGATGTTAAAAGATGTAATAACACAGATCTTACCTATATTCTTTCAAGAAATATAGGAGGAGGGAGTCCTTTTTTAGTTCATTTTAAAAGGCTAGCATAATCCTACAACCAAAATTTGGCAAACATTCTACATTTATAATGTTATAACATTACAGAGAAATATCATCAATGAAAATGGATGAAGATGTCTTTTTTCAAGTATTAGCAGTTGAATTCAACTAAATATGTGTATATGTATATGCATCTGCATATCTGTGTGTTTTAAGGATAATATAAATATTAGGGAATACATATGTGTGTATGTATCAGAGATAAAACATCATAAGCCAGCACAATAATACATACCTATAATTCCAGCTACTTGTGAGGCTAAGGCAGGAGGATCACAAGCTTGAGGCCAGTCTGAACTCGATGAGACGCTGTCTCAAAAAAAAAAAAAAAAGTCTAAGCATGGTGGCTTATATCTATAATCCCAGCTACTAGAGAGACAGCTATCAAGAGGATCATAATTTGAGGCCAGCCCAGGCAAAAAAGTTAGAGACTCCATTTCAACAAATAAGTTAAACTTGGTGGTGCACACCTATCATCCCAGCTATGTGGGAGATACAAATACATGGGCCAGCCCAGGGAAAAACACAAGACACCATCTGAAAAATAAGTAAAGCAAAAAGTGCTGGGATGTGGCTCAAGTGGTAGTGCACCTGGTTAGCAAGCACAAGGCCCTGAGTTCAAACCCCAGTACCACCAAAACAAAGCAAAACAAAACAATAAACTTCAGTGATACTCTGCTTCATCTCCCCCATTGTCTAACAATGCCAGATGTTGGCAAGGGTGTGAACAGGCTTTCATTTTACAGTACCTCTGGCATTCATATGACATAGTAGGTGCTTCCAGTTTACAAAGCATTTTTGATCTCCAAAGTAATCCTTAAGGTTTCTTTTGAGTAGGGACTGTGAGGTGGAGTCAGCTTGTCTGTCTCTGCCCAGCATGGACTAGACATAAATTTACCAAATTAGATAACTCTAGTTAAATAGTATTAACTGAGGCTGGTAATACCATTCATCTCTCTATACCTTTTTTTATTTACGGGGGGACCTGACATAAGACTATACTAAATTAAGCATCTTAGAGATAAAAGTATGACTTATTTATCATACTTTTACTGCAGACACTGTTTTTCCTTCACATGTTAGATTGTATGCTTTCTTGCTAAACTAACTTCAGTTTTCAATATCCAGGTCTTCCACTGAGCTAAAATAAATAACTGTTCAGAAAAGTATATGTTGCCAAAGGAAGTAGTTTTGAACTGAAAATGTCAAGATAGAGTTCTTTTGCCTTTGAGGACAATTTAGTTTCACTGGGGTTATCTTTGCCCCTCCCCCCTAGCCTCTGGGGCCTCATTCCAGATTCTAGCCACTGTCTGCCTTCTTATTTTACAAAGGCTGTAACACCTGTTACATGATACACTGAGACCAGGCAGTACCTTGAAAGGCCATAATTCTGGTGAAGGCTGAAATTCTAAGGGATGAGATTCCTTTATCATTGACCCTGCAGTAGTATTCTATAGAAGGATGGTGGGTAAAAGACAAAATCAGAAATGTGAGTGGAGAATTTACCTGAGGCTCATCTTGGTAATTAAGCATTGCATATTTCCAAGGCGTAATACGCAACTTTTAGTTACATTTTGTTTTACAAATGCAGTGCTGTTCAGTAACCATAGAGAGAAGGTGGGCTCAAAATTGGAGCCAGAGAAGTTTAAAATAGAAAGATCAACTCACCATGCTAAGTTTTCTTTCCTCACAGAAAGGACCCATTTGGGATGGGTCAAATGCAGGTAGATGTTACAAAATGACTTCTTAAGATTGCCAGTGAGAGTCACAGAGCGCTAAATGGTGGTTAATCTACTCACAAGGGTTTATAGAGGAAGTTTCCATGAAGTGGAGAACATACCCATTAAAAATCAAACTGAACCATAGTAGGGTAGAAGAGAGAAAAACTATGCAGTAGTCTGGGACATAAATTGCATGATGAAAATGTGCGAAAGAGCAAGTACAAAAGGAAGTAGCTAGGAAACTAGTAAAATATTTCTAACCCCCGAGGGAGAGTTTGGGGGCTCTCCCTCATACCAAAAGCATGATTATGCAAAAGCATGAATGCAGGAGTGGTGTGATGTGATAACCACACTCACTGACAGCCTCTGGAGTAGGAATGGGCAGGAAAGGCAGCAGGAGTATTTTCTCCCAGACTTCTTTCTGCCTCTACATTGGAGTATTTTCCTGCACCAGCTCTGCCATTTACTGTTTTCCTCATCTGATCTTCTACCAGACCTGCTGGAAGACTTAAAGAGACACCACAAGGATGTTCTCAGTGTGTATATTCCCATCTTTTTGAATCCTCTATCAGCCTAAAGCCCTGAGAAAATGTTTCTGTCTAAATCCACTGCTTCAAGCATCCATCCACAGAAGCATCTCAGCATACCATGGTAACAGGTCTTAGTGAAGATTTACGTGAAAGCAGGAAAGACCCCAAGGCTTCTAAGTACTCAGAACCCCGCCCACTTTAGATCCTTGCCCAAAAGGAGCACTCTAGCCTAGTCTGAGTAGAGGTACAGAATAAGGAGCTGCATTCACCTCTTCTCACCCGGCTGCTGAAGTAATGATTCACCCCCCTCAGCCTGCATCAGTAGAATCTGTCATCTGCCAGGTACAGGATGTGACCCTCTGATTTAGACTGGCAGAAGTGGAAAGGCCCAGGCATAGTAAAATGAACACTGTGACAGAAGCCAGAGTGTTGTGAGAACACAGAGGAAGAAGGGCTCAAAGTGAAAAGGGGAGTCCGGGGACCTCTCGTGCCTTTGTGAAATGAAAGGCTTCTTTTGGATTTTGTGTGAAATTTGATGCATCAGGAGCACTCCAGAGAGAGGCGAGTAATGCAAGCCCAAGACATGTTTGGGGATAAGTGAGGAGCTCTGGGAGTTAAAGAAGAGGATGCTGGGGGGAAGGGAAGCTTGGACATAATTAGTGGATTCTAAAGAGGAAAGGTTTCTGTCTGCTGGTCCAAAGGGTTTGGGCCAAGCTCAGGGAAAGTTTCCTTTATTCATTCATTTATGTATACATACACTTGCTTATTCATTCAATAAATATTCACTATTTACTCTGTGACAAACACTAATCTGTGTGCTGAGGAGAGAAAAATGAACAAGACACAGTTCATTTCCTTAAGGAAGTCACAGTCTGGGGGAGGAGACAAGTAACAGTGGTACATAATGCAGATAATAGTTGTTACCTGTTCCAAGAACAGAGTGAAGCAAGTAATTGATTATGCTCGGAGGTAGAGGACATAAGAAATAGCTGTAAACAATGTGCTGTTGAGTCGAGTTTAAGGGACCAGAGCTTGCCAGGTTGAAGTAAGAAGCCTTCCAGAGTCCACTGTGGTACCACACATCTATAATCCCAGAACCTGGGAGACTGAAGCAGGAGTATTTCAAGCTCTAGGCCAGCCAGGGCTGCACAGTGAAACCCTATCTCAGGAAAAAAAGTAGAAGAAGCTTTCCATACACAGAAAACAACACAACAGAGCCCAGAGGCTGGAACCAATGACGCTACCAGGAGCATTGCAGTTTGCTGAGTGCCTTCTAGAGTGAGAAGGGGTTCCAGGGAGAAAAGACTAGAGAGAGGAGTTGTAATAATCCTAGGAGTTTGAGCATAGCCTTGGGGCAGTATTAAAGATGTTTGAGTGGAGAGGTTGCAGCAGGATATAGAGGTCCAGGGAAGATGAAAAGGAAACCAGTTACTAACCCTGTCATTAATCCAGAAGAAACATCAGGAGGAGCTGAACTGTGGTAGATTCAGTGAGACTTCATCAGAATATGGATACTTCCCCAGTTTCTGGCTTCCCAAGGCAGGAGTCAAAAGCAAAAATAGATTTCAGGAGAAAGATAAGAAGTCCATTCTGGAATATGTTCAGGGTTACTGAAAGACACCTGTGATGCTCTCCCATCCCATTTCCACCTTAAAATCATTCAGAGGCTCCCTGGCCTGGCCCCTCCACTGTCTTTTCTCAGTCCTACATTTTTTTTTTCTTTCTGGCAGAGCTGAGGCTCAAACCCAGATCCCCACAATGCCAGGCAAGTGCTCTACCACTGAGCTACGCCCCAAGCTAATTTAACTTTTTAAGTCAAGAGAAACCATTTTGACTTTGTTGTGCATAGTGATGTTTTGAAGTATATCTACATTGTTGAGTGGTTAAATCTAGCCTACTTAACAACCGCAGTACCTCAGTTATCATTTTTGTGGTTAGACTGTATAACATCACTCTGTTTTTCAATAATTCAGTATGTCATCATTAACTGTAGTCACCTTGCTGCACAATAGATCTCTTAAAATTGATCCCTCCTGTCTGACTGTAATTATGTATCCTTTAACCAACATCTCCCCCTCCCCTTCCCCTTCCCCTCCCCTTCCCAGCTTCTGGTAAGCACCTTTTTACTCTGCTTGATGAGATCAACCTGTTTAGATTCCACATGAGTGAGATCATTCAGTATTTGTCTTTCAGCCTTACCTTCAAACCCGCTTCCTCCAGCCTGAGCAGCTTGCAGATCACTGAACTTGGCCAGGTTGTGTTATACATCCTTGTGCCTCCAACTCGAACACCTTTTCCTTGCCTTGCTGCTATTTATTCCAGACACACTCAGATGTAACAACTTTGAGGACGCCTTCCCCAACATTCTCCTCCACCATGAGGGAGGATCAGTATGAGCCTGTCACCAGTCACATACTCACCCCACCTAATTGTAACAATTTACAGGAGTATCACCTCCAAATCACAACTGTGACATCCCCAGATAGGGCAGGTTGCATCTCTGTATCCACTGTGCAAAATGAGAAGGAATATATCAATGTCTATTAAATTAACAAATCCAGATTGAGGGCATCTAAAAGAGAGCTGGAAATTCCAAAAAACAAAATGAAAAATACCAAAGACAAATGTGAACAGTTTATGTCTGCCATTGATTCCCTTGTCTTCCTGAGTACTATATTGTTTTCAATTATCTAAGCCCATGACTATTGGCTTGGTTATGTGTATGTGGAAGAGAAAAGAAACATGGAGGCCTAGGGAGGAGGGCTGGTAAAGATGGGGACCAAAATGGAATTCCCAGCCATCAAGGGCCACCCTTGATGTTTACCTAAAAGGAAGCCTGGCCTGCACATTTGGTTCACTTCCTCTGTTTGACCTACTGAGCCCTAGTTTCTGCCACCACCTGGTGGCCATATCTATAAATAACAAGTTCCTCCATGAGCTGAGGAGCTTCTGTAAGATAGAAGTTCCAAGGAGTACCTTTGGGGGTTCTGCCACCATCACACCCCCACCCACAAAGGAGCACACAGATCTGAATGTATAGGAGAAGCACCATGTTCTGGCAAGAATCTACAGGAGCTTGTTACTGCACTCTTAAGATGCCTCTGGCCTCCAAAAAGCCAAGAATTGATTCTTAGTTTCCCCCCGCCAATGAAATCCTGTGAATAATCATGACAGGTTGAGAAGCCAACCTGGATCCCTACTGCTGAGAACCTCACTCTCCAATTTCCCTGCATACTTATACAGAACACAGAATCCAGTTTGAAACCCATTCTTGTAAAACCAATAGCTTATGTAGCCTCAGAACCAGACAGATCCTTGAAGTCATTGAGGCCAGTCTGCAGGCATGGCTGGAGCAGCTAGCAAGCCCAAAGCCTAAGTTCAAACTTCAGTGTCACCAAAAAAAAAAAAAAAATCATTGAGACATACCAGATCACACTTGGGGAAGGACTGGTGACACTCCCAGAACATATCAGTAGCAGTGCTGGAACCTAACACAAATTACCCTCTTTTACTGCATCTCTCTTTACTACCTGACTTATTTCCCACAAACAATTTTTTTTAAATCAAAATTTTTTTCTGTCCTGAATATAGTTCCCAAACTGAAACCATTTTTCTTCATATTTTTAGATTTCTGAAAAGAGCTAAATGCCTCTCAACAAAACATAATATGTGGTAGAAAATAAATCTGTATGGCTCACATATAAGTTCTTTATGACGTACAGCATCTACACCCATAAGCTGCTTTCTATTGTCGAGGGAAAACTAGCACAGAGAGGTAAAATGACTTGCCTCCCATTTCCTCATACCAACTTAAGGGCTCTTTCCACCACCTCATAGCCTTTGTATTCAAACATGTGTGCTGGGGTAGCAGGTAGTGTAACTGACTTGTTGAGATCTGTTTGGGGGATCCAGTGTGAGACTGAGTCCTGCAGTGACAGCTATTTGGAGACAGTGGATAAAGGCTAACATTGCCAGAATATCAATATGCTAGATACACTAGAGTCTGTTTTCTAAACAGACTTCAAAGATGTTTTTAATCACCATTGGGCAGTTGCCTAAATTAGTTCCAAAAAAAAAAAAAAGTGATTTGCTCCAGGTCACACTGCTAGCACATGGCAGATCCTAGGTAAACCTTGTGTCTACCTGACTCCTCAGCTGGTGTTTTCCACACCACCTAGCTGCATGAAGCTTGAACATTCACTTGCCTCCTGAAGGCAGCCCTAGCTTCCTCTTACCCTCATCCCTCTTTTTCTTTTAGGAGTGCCAGCTTCTCTCAGGGCACCCGGCAGAAGAGTGACACAGCTGTACAAAAACTTGCCCACGGCAATGGACACTGTGTCAACGGCGTCAGTGGTCAAGTCCATGGCTTCTACAGCCTTCCCAAGCCAAGCCGGCACAATACAGAATTAAGAGACAGTACCTATGACCTCCCCCGGAGCCTGGCCTCCCATGGCCACACCAAGGGAAGCCTCACCGGGTCCGAGACTGATAATGAGGATGTGTACACCTTCAAGATGCCCAGCAACACTCTGTGCCGGGAGTTCGGGGACCTCCTGGTGGACAATATGGACGTTCCAACCACCCCACTCTTAGCCTACCAGATCCCCAGGACATTCACACTGGATAAGAACCACAATGCTATGGCAGTGGCCACTCCTGGGGACTCAGCCATAGCTCCCCCACCCCGGCCCCCCAAGCCAAGTCAGGCAGAAACACCTCGATGGGGCAGCCCTCAGCAGAGACCTCCAATGGGTGAAAACAGCAGATCTGTTGCTGCCACCATCCCCAGGCGCAATACCCTCCCTGCCATGGATAACAGCCGACTTCATCGAGGTTAGTGTAGGTCTCACTGAGACTAGAGGGGACAAGGAAGCTGGCCTAGGTGTTCCCTGTGCTAGCCCTTGGTTATCCATAGCCAGGGGACTTAAGGCCCATCTGGATCACCAATACAAGGGTAGGCATCTTCTGTGCAGTCCTCTCACCAGTTGGTTCTCTGGCTTTTAGTATGACACCCACAATAGCAAGAGTGTCACTGACTCTGCCTCAAAGAGTGTAAAATTCTAAGGGACAAAGAACATTCTTGATCAACCACTATACAACATATTATGGGTTTGGAAGTCCAAATCATAGTATTTTATTCATTTAAAACTCAAACCAAAGATTTAAAATGTAAATTTAAAAGACCATTCCAAAGTTTGAGCCAAACCTCTGTGGACTGATAGACAAAACAAAATGAGGGCTTCAGAATATTTTGTAAACCACACCAAAATCACTGGTTGAAGTCTGAACTTGTTTTTAAAGACTACATTCTATTGTCACTTGTTAATGGAGTAGATTCCAGCTCTGCACACGGCCTCCTGTATTTGGTGAAAAGACAGAATACTGTTCATTCCTCTCAGTTTTCATCTTGTGTTAAAGCTTACAAAGCCTTCTCACCCATCCTGCTGTGTAACATGCAGAGTGTGAGGAGACAGAGCTTTGTCTCCACTTGACATAAGGCCCAAGTAAAGGTGGGTAAGAGTCCGACTCAGTTACAGAGTCAGCAGCAATAGAGATGAGACTCAGCCTGGGGTCCTGGCTCCTGCCTAGAACTCTGCAGCCATTCAGTTACCTTGTGTTTTCAAACTGGGATAAGACATACAAACTGTGTCCCTACCCTTCAGAGTGGACATCTGGTTGGGAAAAGAAAACCAACCTGTGTAAATTGTGTAAGTATTGTTACTGTAGTATTCACAGAGGTAGTAAGTACACAGTAAGTCTGAAGTCAAAGAGGAGCTCTGCAAATGCCCACACTGGAGTAGACCTAGGCCTAAGAGGAAACTGGGACCTGAGGAAGGCTGGGTTAGAAGTCCCTCAGGTGGAGAGCAGTGCCTTCTGGAGTATCAGGAGACTGAGCCATACAGTGGGGGACAGGAAGATCCAGAATGTGGATCAACATGAGCACCTACCATCTTCCTTCCTCTGTCACAGCTTCTTCCTGTGAGACCTATGAGTATCCCACACGTGGTGGGGAGAGCGCAGGCCGGTCTGCTGAATCTGTGAGTGAGGGAGTCAGTCCTTTTCTGGTAAGTAGGGTTGGACCAGGGCTTCTCCTACCAAGCTATGTAAGGAAGAGCCCATACCCCATGGAACTGAAAAAATTGCCCTGAAAAAATGATGGTGTCTCCCTTAGGACCTTGCCTAGGTTCTTGTATCAGTTTAAAGCCCTAGGTTGAATGTTTTGGCAAGCAAAACATAGGGACTTTAGTCTGGAGCCCATGTGTGTCCTTAGGTGGACTGAATTGCAAGGCTCACCAGCCCCGTGGTTAAACAGAGGGGTTCTAGAATGCAGTAGACCCTGTCTGGGGTGGATCTCATGTGGAGGAGGAATTCTATAGGGGAAGGCTTCACATAGAGTCAGGCTAGGTGGCAGAATTGCAGCTTGAGTGCCTTCTGGAAGAGTCTGGACATGGCTGTTGAAGGTGTGGCAAGCCAACCAGGGCCTGGTTTCAAGCCCACTGGAAAAACAGGGAAAATTAGGTAACCAAGGTAGGCACAGCTCTGTTGGATGACCAGCCAGAGAGGTTGGAAGTTGGAGAAGGTAGCCAGGGATGCTGTATTACACAGATGGGACCACTCTGCCTTCAGCTTGGTGGTTACCTAGATGCCTGGGGTGAGCCACAGCCCACTAAGTGCCGGACAGGGAAAGCACAACTGGCCCCAGATCACTCCTGCCAGAGCCAAGTATGCTCCTTTCCCTAATCAGGGTCTAGATGCTGACCTACCAATAGTGAGTCCTGAAATAAACCTTCATAGTCCCTGGCCAGAATTACCCTCTTCCTTGGCCAGGCATCAAGAAACCTGAGTGAATCCAGCCACCAGGATATTTTATACCTTAGATTTAGCACACATTATAGGTAGATCCCTTCCCCACCTTCCAATCCACTTTCTTAGTCTTCCCACAGTCTCCCATAGAGTGTCAAAATGTAGTTAATCCACTGGGACAGCTCACCTTGTACTCACATTCTCACTTATTTTTTCTTGGTAATGACAGCTGTTTCTTTCATGCCCCCTCTCTCTAGCCAGGGAAAACTGCCGTGGGTCGATCAGACAGCGCCAGTTCTGAAGACAACTATGTGCCCATGAACCCAGGTTCTTCCACCCTGCTGGCAATGGAGCGGGCAGGGGACAATTCCCAGAGTGTCTATATTCCCATGAGCCCAGGGCCCCATCACTTTGACCCACTGGGCTACCCGACCACAGCCCTTCCTATGCACAGAGGCCCCAGCCGAGGAAGTGAGATCCAGCCACCCCCTGTCAACCGCAACCTCAAGCCTGACCGGAAAGGTAAGCCTACTCTTTCCCCCATCCCATCTCTGAACAGCATCCAGGGACTATTTGCATTTACTTAGGGATCAGGTGGATACTGAACTTGGGTTGTATGATTTTGTGCAAATAATATAAATTTTGTGGGCCTCAGATTTCTTACTGTGAACTGGGTGCTAATTCCCACCTCTGGAGTTTATTTAAGAGAGCGTCTAGGACACTGATCTATGGCAGGTGTGCAGCAGTTAGACCTGTGACCCTGCTGCAACCAAGACCAGGAAGCGGTGCTAGCATCCAATTCCAGGTCTGCCACTACTCTCCGCCAGTCTTGGCTTGGCAGCAGGAATTCAAAAGGAAGAATAGTATAACTTGGACAAAGCTAGAGGCCTGTGGATCTGGCCAATATGGAATTAAAATCTGAGTTGTAGATTGAAGCCCACAGGGCCTTCCTCTACTGTGGTTTGCACATCCCTGTCCAAAAGTAGCAGAGAGTAGTCATGGTGACCATCTCCATTTATATAAAGTCATAAACCTGGGGAGAAAAATGTGTTGTCAGACCATGTCTTCCATTTGAGATTCTGAAAGTCTAATTACAATATAGCAGAAAGGATGTGTAATTTGGCATCTAATGATATGACTTCCACATGGGAAATGATTATATAGTCAGCCCTCTGTATTCTCAGGTCCTGTGCCTGCAGACTCAACCAATGCAAATCAAAAATATTTCAAAAAAATTGCATCTGTACTGCATAAATTTTTTTATCATTATTCCCTAAACAATTTGAACTGTTTACATTTATGTTAGGTATCAAAAATAATATAGATATGATCTGGAGTGTATAGAAGGATGTGCATAAGTTAATACAAATACTGTCCATTTTATCTAAGGGAATCAAGCATCTACAGATTTTGGTATCTGTGGGGATCCTGGAACCATTCCCCAGCAGATACCAAAGAACACCTGTATAACTGTACTGAGCCTTAGTTTCCCTATGTAAGCTGGAATGCTGTGAAGACCTTTGTAAATATGTCTGTGTGGTGTGATCCTGGCTGATTCCTGGACTCTTCCTTTCCAGCAAAGCCAACACCCCTTGACCTGAGAAACAACACTGTCATTGATGAGCTCCCCTTCAAGTCACCTGTCACTAAGTCTTGGTCCAGAGCCAAGTAAGTGTCTGTAGAAGCAGGAACTTAGAGTCAGGTGTTGGAGTTGAGGAGGATGGTCTCTGGCCTACAGGGCGGGGCTTGGGTGGGTGTCGGGACAACTGGATGTTGATGCTAATGCTGTCATCAGCTGTGTGGTCAGATTTTCTGTTGCTGTGACAAAATACCTGACATAAACAACTTAAAAACAAGAGTTATTTTGGCTCATGGTTTCGGTCCAGTCATTTGGCTTTGTTGCTTGTAGACCTATAACCAGGCAGAAATATGATGGTGGGAAGGGTGTAGCAAAGCAGAGTGAGCTTACATTGGCAGGCCTCCTTCTTCCACTTTTGTTCCATCCAGATCCCCAGCCTGTTAAACAGTGCCACTCATATTCATGGTGGTCTTCCTCTCTCAATGGCTATCCCACGTGCCAATCATCTCTGGAACCACCCTTACAGACACATCCAGAAGTGAGCTTTACTAATCTCCTAGGTATCTCTAAATCCAGTCACGATTAACCATCACATCAGTTCATTGTGGCTCTCGATCTCTTGAGAATTGGTTTCCTCATCTGTAAAGCGGGGCTAATTATGCCTGCCGTGGCTCAGATCTCAATCCTGAAGCTTGGATGGCCAAAGCATGGTTATGTGAGGGTTAGGGCTCCCCAAGGTTCACAGTCTTTTTCTTACAACAGCCACACCTTTAGCTCCAGCTCCTCCCAGTACTGCCGCCCCATCTCCACCCAGAGCATCACCAGCACGGACTCAGGAGACAGCGAGGAGAACTATGTTCCTATGGTGAGTCCTCTGACATTTGCTAGAAAGACTCCTATCAGAGTTTGTCCTCCAGAACCAGCCTCTTAGTTCTGTACTTCGCAGCTCAGCCCATTCATGTCACCCCAGGGACTGCCTACTCTTTGTGATTTAGCCTGCTTCTGCAGGCCTTTCCTGAGCACATGTGTGTCAAGCAGCAGGAGTTATCATCAGCTGTAAGGAAGAAATGGCTCCTGCCACCAAGGAGGTCTGTCTTACAGAGCAGAGGCAGCCCGCCTCTCTCTTATGACACTGACACAGGTGGCATGATTGGTACCCTTAGAGAGGCAGTGTCAGGGAGATATGCATATGTAGTCTCCATAGTGGTAGGAATTGTAAAGGTACAAAACAAAGTAAGGTTCGTCCCTGAGATTTTCACTGAAAAGGACACAGCTGCCCAGCATCTGATCATGGCTGCAAAGATATTGAAAGGATGAATCAGCCAGGCATGGTGGCTTGTGACTATAATCGTACCTACTTAGGAGGCAGAGATCAGGAGGATCACAGTTCAAGACCAACCTAAGCAAAAAATTGGTAAGACCCCACCTCCCCCCCACATCTCAACAAATACACTGGGTGGGGTAGCTACTTAAAGGATCTCTGTCCCAGGCAATAAAGCAAGACCCTACCTAAAAAATAAATCAAAAAGGACTGGAGGCATGGATCAGGTGGTAGAACACCTATCTAGAAACATGAGGCCCTAAATTCAAACCACAGTTCAAGTTAATCAGCCAACCATTATATTTTAATATCAACTAGAACATGAAATGCCACCTTTCACATTAGAGTCAGGCTTTGGGAAAATCCTAGACATGGAAATACTCTCCTGGAGCAGGAGCCTGCCACTGGAGAATTGCCTAAGAAAGGGGTTTGGTATACCCAGAGACTATTCAGGCCTCTGCAGTGCTGGGTGCAGGGCATCAGTTGCTCCACCATGCCTGCCACTTGTGGGTGGGCATTTCAGAGGACTGACAAGGTGTAACAGGAGCCTGGGAACCAAGGTCAGGTCTCCCAGGAGAGGCTGTGCCTGCCCTAAAAGGGAGCCAGCATGCTACATGGGATTAGCGCAGGTTGGGGAATCACAAAACACTGCTGATTCCCATTACATGTCAACCATGAGCGACTCACTGGGCGCCTGTGAACCAGTTTCGGTGTTTTTTTTTTAAAGCAATGTGAGCATTAATAGTATGTACTCTTCAGGAGTGTAGAGAGGGCTTACATGTGAACCTGAAAGTCGCAGTGCCTGGCTCAGAGCAGGATGCAGTGAATGAGTAGCTCTTACTCCCAGAGCTGGTTTTTCTGGATGGGCTGGTCTGTTTCTAAACTCAGTTTTTTCCTCTTTGTGATAGCAAAACCCAGTGTCTGCATCCCCCATTGCCAGTGGCACCAACAGTCCAGCCCCGAAGAAGAGCACCGGAAGTGTTGATTATCTGGCCCTGGATTTCCAACCGGGCTCCCCAAGCCCCCACCGCAAGGTGCCTGGGGTAGAGGCGGGGATGAGGGGGAGGTCGGGGGGCATGGTACCCTCACCATAGCCAGTTTGTATGAGTTGCCACTCTTTAGTTGGTGTCTGCGAGGCTTCTATCCCTCCCCTCTCAGAGCACCAGCTCCCTCCAGTGGTTAGAACTCCATCAATCCGCCCATCCTCTTGCTGTACAGATGGGCAGATGAATGCAGAGACACGAGTGCTTAAGGTTACAGTGGGTTCATGACAGATCCGAGACCTGGAGATTTGCCTCCAACCCTTCTTTGAGAAGAACTCACTATCTGGATGGGGCCTAGAGCCCTACCAGTGATACAGTAGCCTTTGGATGGTCGTCCAGATGTCAGGAAACCTCTCTGGCACTCAGCCAGTCTGTCCAAGCAGCAGGGTGTGGGGCTCCACCCAGTGCAGGTCCCCACTGGGCACTCTAAAGCCCCAGGGCTGGTGCTTTTTGGCACCCAGCACGTTCTTTCCCCCAGATGAGTGGCCAGAGGAAAGTGAGTAGAGGCAGAGCACAAGGCCTGAGTCCTCCTAAGAGCTGGAAAGTCAGGACTAGCAGGGTGGCTGCCTTCAACAGGATGATCCGTTTGGACTTTGGCTTTTAAATTAAAGCCTACAGTCAACAAAGAAGACAGACCTTGAGGCTGGTCAAACTGGCAGCAGGGGCTACCTCCCCTCAACACAGCTTGAGAAGACCCCACTGTTCTTCTGACCCACTTTCACTTTGTCCCCTCAGCCATCCACATCATCCGTCACATCAGACGAGAAGGTAGACTATGTCCAAGTGGATAAGGAGAAGACGCAGGCTCTGCAGAACACCATGCAGGAATGGACAGACGTGCGGCAGTCCTCAGAGCCTTCCAAGGGCGCCAAGCTGTAACGTGGGGGCCACCAAGCCTAGAGTGAGGCCAGGAGGCAGCAGATAGAAACTGACTCCTCCCCACCTTCCCTCCCATCTCCCCTCCCACTCACTCCACTACTTTCAGCCTTCAAAGCACTTGACATCAGGGACCCTGACCTTTCCCTTGGAATGTGAGGGCCTGATGGAGGCACTGCCTCCGCTCACTCCGAGTCCACCTGTGATTTCTATCAATACAGGCCGTGCCTCCACCCACCTTAGTTAGGAACTATTGCCAAAAAGCCTCTTCCTGTCCTTGGGACCTGTCTACTGCTTGGACCCTTGGGGGGATTGGGGCTCTGAGCCAGACTACACACCTCATGTTTGGTCACAGCCCTTTACCCTCTTCCCTCCACCTCTGGGCTCTCTCTCCTTCAATCCCAGAGGAGGACAACCCAGAGAGCCAGGGACCAGCAGACCAAAGTGGACATGGACCTTTTTCATCCCTGTTGTTCTTGGCAGGGGAGAGGCAAGCCACCAAATGAAGATATGGTCAAGAATGAAGGTCAGAGGTGGTCTTGAGGGACAGCAGAGTTAGGCGCCTCCCCAGACACATCAGGGCATCTGATAACTGCAGGAGCCCCTCGCTTTCAGGTCAACGGTGTGTATCCACCTCCTTGTGGTGTGGGAGAGGCAGAAAGATGAAGGACAAAAGGGAAAACTGATCCATGATAGGAAACCAAAAACAGTAAGAAATAGGGCTTAGAGTGACAAGGACATTGGACAGTCAGGGCCCCAGAACTCTGGCGCTGCAGGCCCACTCTGCCACTCTGGGATGAAGGCCATCCTCTTCCCAAGCCCCCTGCTGGAGAAAGCTTGGGCCTAGCTGGCCCAGCAAGGCTAGGGTGTGGAGAATGTGGAATGGGGAGAAGTGGCTTGGATGGGGCTAGGGGACCATGAGATGGAAGTGTGCTAGTCACAGGGCAGTGCAGGAACACTGCAATGGGGATGGTACAGCAAGTAAGTTTCTGGGAAGTAGGATGGTTACAGAGGCGACTGATTTGATGGTATGGGAGGTAAGGTGCAAGCCCTGAAGCAAGCAGAGACCTGGCAACAAGTCCAAGGCAGTGCATCAGGGTGCCGGGGGAGCAGAAAGTGAAGGAGCACTACCTTATGCAAGGACACCTGTATGCAGGCCATCCCAGGACTGAGGATGGCAGGCGAGGCAGGACCCACCTAGGGGAACCTGTGCTATGGCTGGCAGCTTGTAGCAAGTGTCAGGACAGGAGCACATCTGGCCTGATGCCAGATCTAGTGTTTTCTCAGCTCCTCTCCCCTGTGTGCTGCTGAGCGTTCCGATGCTGTGCTGGACCTCATGCTCAGCTACACAGATGGGAGAAGCCAGTCTTCGCCTCCAGAGGCTTGAAAGGGCAGCAGGGATAGGAGGCAGGCATGGCTTAAGGCTCCTCCTCCACTAGAGCAGGGCGATCTGGATTTTTTTATGTCAAAAGTTCTGGACCAAATTCTCAAGAGTTCCAGAGGCAGTGAGGAAGACCAGATATTTCATTATGTTCTGGGATGAATAGACCAAGAATATGACTTGAGGGGAGTGGCTACCACTCACCTTTCAGTTCCTGGGAGCACACGCAGCCCCTCTGCCTGATCCCAGGTGAAGTTCTCTCCTCAACAGCAGCTCTTTTTCTAGCGTTAGTCCAGAGCAAATCAAGAATCATTTAGTAATTGCTACTGTGGCCAGCCCCTGGGCGTAGACACACCTTGTCCCTGAACTGCACAAGGTCACAACCAGTGAGTAAAAGGGAAAGGACACAAGACAGTGGTGATGACTGTAACAGAGTCGTAAAATACTGATGGAGTACAGAGGAATGAAGGCCACTTCTCAGGGAGGCTGGGGCCAGAGTGGGGAGGGCTGGCAGACAGGGAAGGTGGTTCTAGGAAAACCAGCGCCTGATTTAGGCCCAAGAGAAGCCCAGTGAGAGCTATAGAGGAAAGAAAGGCAGGGCTGGGTCCCAAGGAGGAAGAAAGGCAAGATTGGGCAAGCCTCTGCTTTGGGAACAGGCCTTTGAGGGTACAGGCCCAGCCACTCAGAAGGATTCACCATCCTCATGGGTGAAGTGGTGGCTGAGGCTGCACTTGGGCAGGTTTTGCTTTGACCCCTGATGATGCCCTCTTAAGGCCCTTCAGCATGGCCTCCCCAGAGCACCATAAAGAGGTTACCATGTTCTGAGTGCACCATGTGAATGAAACTGGCTGGCATTGCCAGGGACTGAGGGGTTTAGATCTAGCGAGTCTCAAAGAGGCCTTGGCTCCTGTCCCTACCCAAGCCTGAGGGTGGATGTAGAGGTGAAGGAAGGAAGGATGAGCAGATGGGCCCATGGAAAGCAGAGCTCTGGCTTACAAGCCCCAAACTACCAGCTATATCTACTGTACTCACCCCCCCCCAAAGGATGAAATGTCAACTCAGATTAAAAAACTAGTTCTTTGGCCTACCCCATGTCAAAGTTCACCTCTCCTAGTAGCTTGGCAAGGATTGAGATCCCAGAACAGGGATGCCTTCTCACCTAGCATAGCTTACACAAGGATTGGTCCTGGGGGCTCTCCTATGGAAACTTTTCCACCCAAAGTTGAGTGATAACAATGAAGAGGGAGATGGTGGTGTTTGCCCATCTGTGAATTGGGTGGGTGGAATAAATCGACTGAAGTCCCAGCTGATGCTTGGTCGGTTCTTCAAGGGTTCAGGCAGCACTCAAGAGCATTAGCCAGTTAACTCTGTCTCCCCCTCACTTGATTTTGATGATTGATAATTTCTGTACTTAACACCATTAAAGCCAGTCCCATTCCTAGAACAGAAGCACAGCCACTCTAAAGCTACTGGAGCACGACTTGATTCCAGTCTGCCTCTGGGCCCTTTACCTGCCACGCCTATAGTCTCAGCCCAAGCCGTGCCTACCATCCTCCCTACCTACCCTACCCTACCCCTCTGATAGAGCTCTGAAGCGGGGACAGGACAAAAGGGAAATTATCTCTGCCTTCCTGTCTGGACCTTCAGCTGTAAAGTGTGAGGAAAGTGAGGCTCACTTCCGGGGGTCATCTTTCTGGGACTTGCCAGTTCCTTGGGACCTGGGACCAGCAGGCTCCCCTACAGTAGGGGCCTGCAGGAGATTTATGCTGTATGTGGTAGCTGGTGGTGTGTGTGCTTGTGAAATTTGTTGGCTACTTGTGTCTTGAAATTTAGAATCATTTCACACGAAACTGTTACTGTTTCTTAAGAGAAATGGGCTAGAAGCAGCCTAGTCTTAAGTTCTTCTTTTGTTACCATTTAAAATTGACATTTTTCAAATCACTGTTGGTGCCTAATCACTTAAGTTATTAATTTATTCTGTTTTCAAAAAATTTGTAACACATATTTATCTTGTGAGTAGGTCTGGGGGTGGGGGGGGACTATGTTTAAGTGGGTCATGTTTTTGCTGTGGTGACACATGGTACAGGCCTGGAGCTTGCAGGTCCCTTTTTACTGTGGTGTTGGAGAGGACAATAAAGTCCTTCAGAAATGCAACCCAGAGGGCTGCTGGAGTCTGTGTGAAGGTGGGGGCAGGGGGAATCCACACTCACTCCCATCTTGGGGCATCCTCAGGACCAACACTCCTGCCACGCACAGGATGACCACACCCTCGCACTTGTTTCACGCACGATCATTTCCAGAGTGATCCCAGGGGTAATGTGCCAGCCTGCTCCATTTTCATAGGAGATAATGGGGCACTTTTCTTGGCTAGGAACAAGAATGAACTCCTTGCTCAACTTGCATCTGCCAGTATACCTTCCTTAGGCAGCATGCTTTGAGAGGGGGGTGGGGGGCTCACATCTCTGGCACTGTGTCTGCTTTCACAGGTGTTTAAGGTCTGACAGCTGAGTCTATGACATCTGAACCAAAACACCACTACTCTCTGTCTCTGCCTTCCAGCTTCTCGCCCCAAAGGGAATGGGCAGATTGGTGGAAAGGGGACCCTGTGGTAAGGACAAGTCCTGGGCCCTACACACACAGTCTCTCCTGTTTCTCGCCAGCTCCAAGAATGGGCTGTGATCTGAGGAAGGAATTGGGTTTGGACCCTGCTTTTTAGCTTGCCCCAGCCATGCCCACATCCAGCCAAGAACAGGCCCCTGGCTCCCCTCCTGCCACTTCTCGGGAGGGAAGGAGGAATGGTGTGAGCAGACGTTCCTGGGGGTCTGAGGACTGTCCAACTATTGCAGCTCCCAGCCCACGTGGTAGGCCAGTTCCCTCCATGCATTCACTGAGCACCTCATCTTGTTCTCACCCCACCCTGCCCTCCTACCTCCATGCTGTATCTCACAAACTCCCAGGGACAGGAGCATATCCTCACCTTACCAAGAGCCCAGTCAGTCACAATCACACTGCCCGGGCCCAGTGAGAAAACCAAGCATACAGCAGACAAGACAGCCCAAGCCAAGAACGACGCATCCTTCACAGGCTTCAGAGAACCTAGTTTTATTCCTGTTTAAGAACATAGGTTTCTTCTTCTCCACTGAGAAGGGACTACAGCAGTTTAGGGCACAATGAGGTCATCTGTGCTACTCAGTCCACCCTCACCCAGCCCTCCCATGACCAACTGATCAGAGGAGCCGAACCAGCCAGCTTCCTCGGAATAGACGATGGCTTCCTGACAAACATCTTTGCAGTAAAATAAGAACCCTTGACCTTAACCAGAAGGGGATGCAAATGATGGTATCTCAGGCACTGAGGCAGGCTGGGGAGGGGGAAGGGGGCGAGGGGATCTCCTCCCCGCTCTGTAGCATTGCTTAGTGTAGAGGAGGGGACAAGTGAGAGTCTTCATCTCTGATCCTACGCCACTATGCCTCTCACCTATATGCCTCAAAAACTTACAATGGGTTTCAGACACCTCCAAAAGGCACCCATATACCTTACCTCTGAAACCAGGCAGAGGTAACACATAGTCCCTTTCTTGGGGCAAGGGCTTGGACCCGCTGTGCTTTTTTTCTCCTATCAAGCAAGAGCTGTGTGAAGGGAGCTGGAAGGAAGTGCTACTGGACACAAGACGCTGAGCAGACGCTCGGCTCTCTAGGACGGGGCCTGCGGGAAGTACAGGGAGGCAAAGTCCAGAGTGTGTCCAGCCAAGCTGCTCCAAGTTAGCCAGGACACTTGGGTGTAAAACCTTAGTGGGACTGATCCCAGTACCAGAACCTGAGGCCCGACCTAAGGGGTTTGGGTCTTACCTCCACATCTGGGCTTCTATGTGCCCTTCAGACCAAAGTCCCAGATGCTCCCTCTCCATCTTTCTCACCATTGGAAGGGCCTACTTCACTCTGGGCCTACCTCCACAGCCCACCTGGGCCCTACTTGGCAGAGGGGCTCTGCCTGGATCCCAGCCCCCACCTGGCTCCCAGAAGAAAGGGGTCAAGGCCCCGTGAGGTTGGTCATAGTGCCCCTACAGGTTGGGAGCAAGCTGAGGGAGGGTTCCCGTTAGAAGACCAGTCTGTGGAAGTCACCACCATTGCCACCTGCAGGGTTGCAGCCCCCTGGAGATCCTTCATCCTCATCCTTGTCTTCATCGAAGCCCCTCCCCCAGTATGGAGAGGTGGGGAGGGCAGAGATATAGGCTGCCCTGCTCCTGGCTTCCTTCTCCTGCTCCTGGGAACACAGAGGCAAGGGAGGAGGCTTAGAATTCAGACCCCAGAAGCCAGAATCTTCCCTTCACTCCCTCCCCCAGTGCTACCAGGCACACTTCCCAGCATCTCTGGATGCCCAAGACCAGGCCACAGAGGAAGCACAGCTTCTATCCTTGGGGGGGGGGACAGGGCCTAGCTGAGGGGCACAGGGGTAGGCAGAGCCACCATCTACCTGTAAACACTGGGCTTCAACTTTTTTTTTCCCCTCTCCTCCTGTTCAATGAAAACTCCAATCCCTTGGAGGAAAAGGAGTCATTCACAGACTAGCTGAGTAGGGACTGATGAGGAAGTGGGACCTTGAGGGGACCTCTCCATGGATTTCCTGGCTGTGGCTGTCTTGGCTCATTCCTCTCCAGGCAAAAGGACCAGCCTGTGCCTATAAGCAAGCTCTTCCTCCTGCCAAACTGAGTCTGGCCTCATGAAGACTCCCTACCACAGTCCTGCCTCTCCGGCACAGGCTGACAGAAATGCTGCAGCAGGCCCGGGGTCCCCAACAAACACCAACTCCACAGGCTCCAGGTGTCCATAGCTGGGACCCATCACTGGCCAAAGCCCTGTCAGTTGCTAAATATTTTGGTGCCGCTCCTGACTGACAGGGGAGCCAAGCAATGACAGGCAGGTCACCGAGGTAGGTGGCCCCTCTGGGAGCCCCCACTGCCTCCTTTACTCACCCTCATAGAACGCAGCCTGCTTCTCCAACATCCTTAACCATTGTGGGCTGGCAGAGCAGCTCAAGTGGCAGAGCGCCTGCTTAGCAAGTGTGAAGTCCTGAGTTCAAAACCCAGTACCCACCCAAAAAAGAAAAAAACCACCGTGGAACCAGCTGGTTAATGCTGGAACCTCTGACGTTAGGGTTATGTCTGTCGCTTCCGACGTGTTCCCAGTACTGAGTGGTGTGTGAGCAGACAGATGGATTTTTAAGAGACACAGAAGAGACAACTGATCTAAGCCCACGGCTGTGCTGGGACAGGACCCTCCGCCCAGGAGTGTCGCCAGGGGCCAGCACCCTGCTCACCTGCAGGTAGAGGACATTGTCTTTGGAAATGGCCTCCATCAGGTCCTTGTGCAGAGCAGGCTCTGCTCGGCCTCTGGGAGAGCCTGGCTCAGCCTCAGGCCCCTCCCCAGGCCGCTGGCGGTAGAAAAGCACATAGGCTGTGTCTTTGGGGAAGAAGGAGGTGACATTGCTGACAGACTCAAAGGAGGAGAAGGACACCCGGGTGTCATTGAACAGGTACCACTGGCTCTCGGGCTCGGGCCTGCTGGTGGCTCCTGGAGCAGGGGCTGGGCGGGCGGCGCCCTCGCGCGCATAGCAGTAGTAGTGGCCACTCTCGGAGGACACGCCGGAGTGCACCACGACGCTACAGAGGTCGTAGGCCTGGCCGCGGCCTCCAGCCAGGGGCAGGCGGAGCAGGAGGGGGATGGTGACGTCGTCCAGGATCTTGCGGCGCCGCATGGTGCGCAGGTCGAAGGAGAAACGCAGCAGCGTGAGGATGAGGTAGCGCGGGCCCTGGCTCAGCTCCACCACCTTCTCGGCGTCCTGCAGGGAGGCGCACGGCTCGCAGTAGTAGCGGTTCTCTGCCGTCAGCCTCTCGGGGGACAGGAAATAGTTGACCAGGTCCAGGACGGAGCGGGAGCCCTCGGGGCCACACACCTGCTCCCTGGAGGGGGTGGCAGCATCCCTGGGGGTCCCTAGTCCCTGTGTGCCCTCCTCCTTCTTGTCATTCTCGGCCTCCTTCTCCTCTTCCTCTTCCTTCTCTTCTTCCTTCTCCTTCCCTTCCTTCTCTTTCTCCTCTTCCTCCTTTTCCTGTGTCCTCTCCTCCTCCCTTTCCTTTCCCACTTCTTCCTCCTTCTCTGCCTCCTCCTTCCCGGCCTCCTCCTCCTCCTCCTCCTTCTCCTCCAGCCCACTCTGCCCCCCAGCTGTGATGGAGCCCTGGCCCTCAATGTCCAGCATGGTGGGGGGAGCGTCCCCTGTGATGCACTGTTTCCTCTGCCTTCGAGGAGCCCTGCTGGCCCCCTGAGCCAGTGGGAGCTCCCGGGCTCTGACATCCTCTGCAGGGAGCAGCACGGAGCCCAGGCGGCGACGGCGACAGCGCTCAGGGGGAGGGAAGGCCAGAGAAAGGTCCGTGAAGGCCTCCTCGCGGGAGGAGACATTGAGGCAGTGGAGACAGCATATCCGAGTCACGATCTTGCCTCCGAACATTTTCTCCACAGACGTTGAACTGGGGCTGGAGGGCTCCTCGGGCGGGGAGGGCAAGCTGGACTGCTTCAGTTTCTGGCAGATTCTCGTCCCTGTTTTCTCCTCTTCATGCAGCCTGCAGCGAGCAGGGAGCACTGGGTCTGCATTCACACATGCTCGGCCACTCCCAGTGCACCCACCTTACACACCCGGCTACAGACTCCCCTGCACGCAGGCTGCACACGCTGCACAGAGACCTGGGAGTCGTGCCCCAGGGCCAGCAATGAGGATTCCTACACGCAGACAAGCACAACACAGCATGCACACACGGACCCCCTTCCCAGGACTCCCCTGCAGCTCAGCATCTCCAGACACCCTCATGCTCAGCCCAGCCCGCACCTGTGGTGCACACCCGCCCCTGCCTTCCAGAATGTGACCCAGCTGGGACACAGGGCTCTCTCCCTATGCTCCTTTACCTATCCAGCAGGTACTTCAAATACTCTGAACAGTCCTGCTGGGTGCCGGGGCTGAACCAGGGCGTCCAGGATGCAGAAAGGAAGTTCTCTGGGGAGATGGCAGGCCTCTAGGAGAAGGAAGGTGAAAGGTGGGGTCAGGAGCCAGAAGCCCTCAGGCTCTGTCACCAGCATGCTAGGTGTGAGGGTCTACCTATGGCTGTGCCCCAAACACCCCAACCTCCTCACCTGAGTCCTTCTCCTTCCTAACTGGCCCTGACCCAAGCCATCCCCAGTCAGGCTCCTGGTGGTGAATCTGCTCTTCCCTCCCTGCATTTCTACCTGCCTAAAACACCCGTCTCTCCCCATGGCAGTAACCCTCTTCCATGACATCTTCCAATGCCCCCTCCTCCATCACCAATGTGCCACTGTTTTTTTTTTTTGTTCTCTGAAGGCCCATCTTCCCCCTGGACTCACTCAACTCATCCATCCCCTCCCCCCAACACAGGGCTCTGCAGAATCCCTGGCCCAGGCTTTAGGGTCCACAAGAGAAGAGACAGTATTTCACCTCTGCACCCTCGACAGCTCTTGGGGTGCCTGGCGACATGAGTGCTCAAAAGCAGCAGTGGATGAGTGGGGTGACTGAATCGCCAAGGCGAGGTAAAGCAGCATGGCCAGGGAAGGGCTCTGGGAGGCACCTGCCCATCTGCTAGGGCACTGAACTGGCCCAGGGGCTCTGGCCATGAACCTGTGCCAGCCCGGACTGCAGCTCACTCTGCAGAGCGGAAGCTTCCAGCTGGTGGCAGGCAGGTCCCGGAGATAGAAGGTATCAGCGCAGCTTGGTGGCACTGCCTCGCCCCCTGCACGCACCTGGCTGTGCTCCAGGAAGGCAAAGAGCCACTGCAGCTTGGTCATCAGGGGCTGGGAGTTGTTCTCAGTCAGCCGGAGCACACAGTGTCGAAAGCTTCGAAACAAAGCAGAGTGCCCAGGGTCAGCGGAGATCCAGGGAGCCTCGACTCCCCCCACCAGGCAAGCAGAGCCACTGGCACTTCTAGTTAAAGTTGAGACCAGAGGCCTTGGAGGAGGAGACAGTGAGCAACTTGGCGTGAAGTGTCTGAGATCAAGAACACCGCAATGGCGTTGCTATGACAATATAGGGGACAGCAAGGTGACCCCGGTAGTCCGGGCTCTGACACCCCATGACACCAGGATCCAAATGTCCCAAGGTTGAGACTCCAGCACGCCACAGAATCCATGCCAAATCATCCCAGCCACTCACAGCCCTGCTCACTGCTTCCTGGCAAATGCCATTCAGACCCATCCACCGCAGGACTTGCCCCAGCCTCAGCCTTCCAACCACCCCGCAGTCCCTGCCCTCAGATAAGGGAGGAAGGGTCAAGGTGAGGAACGTGCTCCAAGAGGAGGGCACTGCAGGGCAGACCGGCCTGCTGTGATGGGTCTGACCCTACGGAGACGGAGGAGCCCTTTGGCACCACTGTCCCTGCAAGCATGCCAACCTCTGACCTCAGCTCCCGTTCGCACAGGCGGCCCTGGGCAGGTCAGTCACACATTTCTCCACACGCAGCACCACTCAAAACGGGGACCCACCCAGCTGGTCTCCAGCCAGGTAAGGACAAAAAATAAGTGAGCACCTAGAACTTATGGCATATTTGAACACCACCATGACCATGTAAACACATGATCATTTTTCTAGAAAGTCATTTATCGTGTTTTTACAAAATAGTCCAAACACCAAAAACTGGGCTGGAGGGGCGTGGCTCAAGTGGTAGAATACCTGCCTAACAATCGTGAGGCCCTGAATTCAAATCCCAGTACCACCCAAAAAAGAAAAACAAACAAAACCACCTAGTCGTTCACCAGGCAGTTTGAGAGGAATAAGTAGCAGCAGCAGCAGCAGCAGCCTAGGAAGTCTTAGTGATCAGTTCCACGTTCTTCCTACTGAATCTGACACTCAGAGAGAAAAAGCTGACCTGTAAGCCAGAACCAAAGCTGAAACTCTGATTTTTAAGCAAGTCACAAAGTGCAGAGGTAGTCATAGATAATACTGTTTCATTTAAAAAAAAGAGAGAACTCAGGCATAGTGGTGCATGCCTGCAATCTCAGCACTGGGGAGGCCAGCCTGAGCTAATTAGGGAGACTGCTTCCAAAATAAAGCACAAACAGCACCTACTCGGAAGCCATGAACAAGGCCTGAAGGATGCTGTTCACGTAGCACGTGTTGCCTAGGTTGATTAAACCGATCTTGCCCGTGTCTGACTTGGCCATGAGCCGGGGATAGAAGCCAGCTAGCTCACTCTTCTGTGAGGTCCAGGCGTCCTGCCCCAGCAGCTGCTTGATGCGGTCCTCATTGGGAACGTGAAGATCCTGAAGAGGAAACAAAAGGTAGGACAATGGACACCAGATCAGTTCCAAAAGTATCACCTCCTCTGGGAAGTCTTCCAGGACTAGCGCACCCTCCACCCTGCCCCAAACACACACTCAGAGGTGTCTAGAGAGGTATGTGGACAGCCCTGCTCACAACTCACTCCCAGGGCTCATTTTGACAGGAGGGCCTTCTACATGATCTTTCGGATGACATAATCCCCACCTCAGAGATAAAAAAAAAAACTAGGATTTACAGAGGAAAAAAAACTGTCCAGGGTCACACAAAGCAGGAAGTAGAGAATGTGTGTTCTTAGCAGAGCCCAGAGGATGACAGACTCTCAGCACCAACAACGCTGGCCATCAGCCAGGTCAGGGCTATGGAGATGTCAGCTCCAGTCCAAACTCCCGTCCTCAGTCGAGCCCTGTTCATTAAGCCTCTTGCCTCAGTCTGTCGACCTCCCTGGGCCTCAGTTTCCTCAGCTGTTAGGAGAGGATGCCTGACCTGACCCCCGCTGGGCATTTTACACTTTCTCGGGGCTTGTGCACAGTGCTGCTCCCACCTCTCCTCCTCCTTTCAGATTTGCAGAGCCGACTTTTGGGAGACTCAGTTACCCCAACACCTGATCCTCCAGTCAGGGCAGTTGGGAGGACCTAGGGGACTGAACTATGGGCCTGTGGTGACAGGCTCAGGGATTAGCACACTTTCCCACTCATTACCCTCTGTCACATTGAACAGCTGCACCTGAAGATCACCAGGCACAGGTTCTAATAACATAGCGTAAAGAAAAGCGCGGATGCACAGTGCAGGGTGACTTAACAGCCTTAGGCCACACTCCTGACGGATCCTCCAGCCTATGTCACATTTCCAGCCCGAGCACAACACTCCTGATCTGTCCAAGACGCCAGAGCTTCTCACTAGCTCGGCACCCAAACTCCTCTCTCCCCACTGCACGTCCTGGCTATGGCGCAAGGTCCTGCTCAGGCTGCGGTTTAACACTTTTGCTCACTCAGCTTCACAGCATCACTTAGCAGATAAGTTATTGGATCAGTCACCTCTCACAGATGATTTAAAAACAAATCCGGGGGTGGAGTGGCTCAAGCGGTAAGAGCACCTACCCTGAGTTCGAACCCCAGTGCTGCCAAAAATTTAAAAATAATTAAAAAAAAAAAGATGCCAGAGAGGAGTACACACAGACTCGGTATCTTTTTTTTCCCATCAGATTAGAACCCCACACACAGATGCACACATGGAGAAGATGCAAAAATGTTCACGTGAGAGAAAACATCAAATACCATTTTTCTCAAAGAAGGTGACTTTATACTCCTAGAAAAATAAAACAAACTTCCAAGTAACTCTCAAACTCCTAAAGGCCCCTGGAATTTACTATGTATGATGGCTCCCTGAGCAAGGACCACAGCTCCCAAGAAATTGCCACAAATTAATATATCTAAGAGAACTTTCCAGAATGTACTTACAAAGGGCCGTGTATACAAGAATGTACACACACAATGCATGAGGAAGAACTTTTTAAACAATACTATAGCATGCTGCCTTGCCTCGCAAATCGGCTCATACCAAAGGGTTTTTCAAAGCCACGCGGCCATTGCAGTGCACCCTCCTGGCACGTAGTCTCCAATACTCAAGGGAGAAAGTTATATTTACATTGAGACAAACAGTATAATTCGGAAGGATACAATTCTCAGGTCTTTGAGATAAAATGAGGTTGTACAGAAACTCTGTGCCCATGTCAGACTGCTCTGGGTAAGCCCCTCCTCTGCCATCAGACTCCTCGGTGGGACATTTGTGAGCCCAGATCTGCTGGAATAAGCCTAGTGTTTTGTTTTTGAGATAGGATCTCACTAGCTTTGCCTGGGCTAGCCTTGAATTCACAATCTTCCTGCCTCCACCTCCAAAGAAGCTGGGATTGCAGGCGTGAGCCACCACGCTGACCTGTAGATCAGACTTTCTCACAGGCAGGTCTGTCATCCTCACTGGCCTGCAATCTACTCTATGGAGGAAGTTTGGTTTGCTTCATCCCTGTGTCACCACTCCCCAAGCCTTGGCCTAGCACAGAGCAGGACATCAGCACAGTCCTATGAATAACAAAGTCATCCCTGCTCTACAGTGCTCACAGCGAGTGACAACATATGACAGAATGTGCCAGGGCTATTCAAGCCCAGGAGGTGCTGATCCAACATGGAGAGGTACTGAGAGTTAGCAGGGAAGGCTTCCTGCAGGAAACAACATGAACAGAGATGAAGGGTAAGCGGCACTGTGGAGCAGAATGAGAAAAGGACCACAGTGAAAGAGACCAGCATGTACAAAAGGCTCAGAACAGTCATGAGAAGGGTAAGCCATCTGGAGAAGAGCAGTAGCCTGATGTACACAATGGCCCTGGGGAGGCCACAGGAGACAACCATGGGCCAAACACAGGGAGGCTGCCACCACACTATGGTATAGCCTCGAGGAAGGCCCAAACTGCCACCTTTGCCAGGGTGAGGAACAATTAGGGGATGGTCACTCACCTTGATGGCCTCCATGACAGGCTCATATAGGTCTGGGAAGCCGGGAAACCGGAACACCATGCAGTGGACCAGCTCTGCCAGCTGCTCCAGGCAGCTGGTCCCCGAGTTCGAGTCCTCCTTGACCAGAGAGGTCACCATGGGGGGGATGTGAGGGAGGAGCTGTGGGGGTTTGGGAGGTAAGAGACAAGGGGCTGGGTCACTGCTGGAAACACCAGAGTACTCTGAGGCAGCAAAGTCTGCCTGCTGGCTACTGTCCCCTCACCCAGGTGGGCTGAGCTCTACAGGTCATTTCTCTGGCAAGATAGCACCTAAGACTCCCGCCTCGGTTTCTTCATCGCAAAGCATAATTAATAATCCCTCCTCACAACCCTGGGGAGGCCGGAGCCTGAATCCAGCTGTTCAGCCTTGGCCAGGTCACCTTTCTCAGAGCCCCAAGGCCTGAGAGACCAGAGCTAATCTGCCCAGCAGGGGTGACGCTGGGGCCACAACACAGCCAGCTGGGTGGGCCCTGACAGCATGTACACAACCCTAGGGACAAGTGACATTGTGTCAAGTACAGCATCCTCACCATGGCCTTACACAGCTGTAGTCACCCTCCTGCCAGAGAGGAAGAAGCTAAAGTTGGAGCAGTTACATCATTTCCGGTCTCCTGACAGTGCTGGGGACAGACCCCAGAGCCCCACGCAGGCCAGGCAAGCTCTACCACCAAGCTACACCCCCTCCCCACAGAAGCTGTGTAATTGCCGGGATTTTACAGTGGGTATAGGACAGGCTGGTTCTGAGCCAGGCCCACCTGAGTCCAAAGCACATCTCTTTCCCTCTCCTTTGGGGTACTGTGCCTGACACACCCCTTGTCCCAAGGAACATTAGCCGTCATCAGTATAAGATCTGTCACCCTATTGTGTGTCTGGGGAGAGGCCACACAAATTCTCAGGCCTCCTCCTGTACTAACATCCAGGGTTCTCAGGCTTCAGGCCCCAACCCCAACCACCAGCAAAGAAGCAGGGCAGATCTCCCAGGCCAGCAGGAACACAGGGCTGCCTGTCTTGGGCAGGGAGGGCCCTTACCAGGTGGAAGGCTTCGTGCGAGTGCTGGAAGGTCAGGAGCATGTACTTAAGGACAGACAAGGCAGCTCCACGGACGATGGGGTACAGCAGCTTGGAGAAGACCTAGAAGAGACTCCCTGGTCAGGAACCCTCCAGACCTGGGCTGCCTGAGGTTGACTGCCACTGCAGCGGACAAGTCTGACACACACTTGAAGTAGCAGACTCATGTGGGAGCAAGAACACCGAGGTGACACAGAGCTGGGTGACTGACAGTCCTATCTGATGGATGGACAGACTGACAGTGACAGATACACTTACTGGAATGAAGGTGGGGAATCGGAGGCCCAGGGAGAGGCAGTGAATTAGCCGAGGTCACACCAGCAGGAAAGGCAGCAAGCGCGGGCAGGACAGGAGCCACCAACCTTCTCGATTTTGGCGAGTGAGACCTCAATCAAGATGCTGAACTTCCTAACGGCGGCCAGGCCTTTCAGCAGGGCAACAATCCACTTGTCAATGTTCTTCCCCAGGGGCCAAGACACCCAGTCCATCATCCTGGTGAGAGGAGTGACAGTGACACAGGGACAGGGGAGGGCAGCACAGGGAGTGGCCATTAAGCCCTGCTACCCTATATTGACTCACACCTACACAGGGCAACCCTGAGTCTCTGGGATGAACAAGACACTTCTGGAAAATGCAAGCAAGCCCAGCACAGACACCTGGCAGAGAAGGGAAGCCAGGAAGGCAGCCAGGCCCTCTTAGCCTCCAGGCTCGCCCTGCTCCAATGGCAGATGGGGCTTCGGGCCTCTGACGGGAACAGCAACACCACCCTTGGGTTCCAGCCAGCCCTGCCTGTGTGACCCAGAGCAAGTCACTTTTGCTCTGAGTCTCAATTCTTCCTCTGTAAAGTGGAGACCATGCCTCCCTCGCAGGGTGGTCATGATTAAAAAAGAGGTAACAAGAGCCAACCATGCCATATCTGCCTGCACCAGGCTCTGCTCTACCCGCTTTACACAGATTAACCCAGCTGACCCCCACAACATGATGCCCGTGTGCTGGGTCAGGCATAAAGGTGACACGTGGTGGGTGCGCAGGAAAGCACCACTGCCGTCATTGCACACTCAGCAGACTGCTATAAAGGGGAAGGGAGGTAGCTACAAGAGCAAAGTAATGACAATTTTGGTAACAGTAGTCCCCGTGGCAGTTCTAGGCATTTCTCATGGTTTATCTCATTTTATCTGAATCCTCCCAACCCTACATGGTGGCTCAATGACACGCCACTTTACGGTTGAAGAAGCTGAAAGGTTGAATAACTTGTGCAAAATCCCACAGGCAAGAAGTGGCAGAGAGAGGATCTGACCCTGGGCACCTTACCTCTTGTGTCCACTAAACACAAGAAATCTAGGCAAGCCCCCAGAGACAGAGGGTACCAGGACATGGGGATGGGAGGATGGCAGAGGGAGGCATGCCCGGTGGGTGGGGTCTGCAAAGGCCAAGGCCTGCAGGGAAGAGGGCAGGCAGCATATTCTGGGGTCACAAGACAGGCTGGTTAGGCTAGAGTGCAGGTATGATGACATATTGGGATGTACACAGGCTCTGTTGAGCTGAAAAGCACCCAAACCCTGCTTATGGTATTTTCCAGACTCAGGAGGTACAATATAAAGGACCTTTCACCTCTCACACCACCACCCACCTCCACTTTTATAGAGGGAAGAGGACACTAGAACTTTCAGAGTCACAGAGTGGGACCTAGCATTCACTAGGGCGGGGCTGTGTTCTCCACGTCCAGTCCAAGCCCATGCACAGAGAACTTGAGAATGAACAGTCAACAAGTGTGAGGGCTGGCCTCTGACCTACATCTAGCACACACCCCCACCCAGTGGAAGGTGCTCCCAGGAAAAGACAAGGAAGGGATGGGCCCTCAGCACTCACCTGCTGATGGCAGTCAGCATCTGGGAGTCCGTCACACTGTCATCATTGCTTAGGTTCCGGACAACGCCATCCATGAGCTCCAATGGGAGGTGCTGAACCACGCTGGCCAGGGCACTGGACGGTGGCTCCTCCTCTGGAACAAGGGCCTAGGCTGAGCTCTCCAAGCCCTCATGCTGCCCAAGAATTAGGCTGGGCCTCTGCAAAGAGCGAGTCTGGGCCCCCTACTCTCCCTCAATAGCTTCACAGCCTCTGAGTCCAGTTAACTTGCTTACTCAAACCTTCACTGAAACAAAGGACTAAACCCCAAACCCTTTAGAAGGGACTATACTGGAGCTGGCCAGAAAAGGTAGGAGGAGGGGTGTGTGGACTGGGGAGGAAGGGACACAACAACGGAGACAAAAGTCTAGAAGTTAGAAGGCACATTTAGCAATCAAGCTTGGTTGTCCAACTGTATAAGGGCCCAGGTCCTTGTACACATGGCCTTGGCTCTTCTTCCTGCCAGGTGAGTTCCCTTCCTTTCCTCTCCTACAATCAGAGAAGGCAGAGATCTCACTCATTCACGCTAGAATCCAAGTTCCACCGCTGTCAACAAAATCTATGGCTCACAGTTAACAAATGCATGTTCAATAAAGGTTTTACAGCCTGCTGCCAGGTGCTACCCATCTCTCAAAATCTGGCTCAACGTGGCTACAGGGGTGTGGTGGTGCAGGCCTCTAATACCGGCTACTCCAGAGCGGGAGGCAGGAGGCCAGCTGGGGCAAAGTTGGTGGCATAGACCCTATCTCAAAAACAAAATATACACAAAAGGACTGGGGGGCTGGGATCAAGCAGCATGCCGAGGCCCTGGGCTCAATCCCCAGCGCGACAAGAGACCGCCATCAAGCTCATGACCAAAAGACCATGCTGACCCACCATCCTATTGACCTGTTTGGCCCTCTGGTCCTCCCTCTTGCCAGGTTGATCGACATCCCTCCTCTCCCATACCAGGCGGTGTGCTCCCTGCTTGTCCAGCACCCATTATGGGGCAGAACCCACCACAGGCGCTCAAGGCAGCTTCGCCAATTAAATGAAGACCCCTGCCCAGGGGCCCATCCTGGACCTCAGCGAGCCCGTCTCCCGCCGCAGCCCCCACGCACACACACCTGTGCAAGAAATGACCGCAAACAGCTCCTTGAGACAGGGCAGGATGGCGGCGGGCTGGACGCGCCACAGCTGCGCCAGGAGCCCGCTCACCTGCTGGGCCTGCTCCAGGAACTCCACGGCGCCCTCCTCGCCCTCGGCGGGGCAGCGGAAGCGGCCGAGGCAGCGCACCAGCTGCTGGCAGAAGAGCAGGCGGTGCGGGCCGTCGGGCACGCAGCGCGGGTGGCGCGCCAGCAGCCGGGCCACCTGCGCGCAGACGGCGGGCCCGGGGCGCTCGCACACGGCGCGCAGCACCTCGCGCCGCAGCAGCGCGAACACCTCGTCGGCCGCGGGCCCGTCGGGCAGCAGCTGCAGCCCCAGCTGCACGCAGGCCAGCGCGCGCGCCCCGGGCGGCCCGGCGCCCCCCTGCAGAAGGCGCAGCACGCGACGCGCGCTGAAGAACTCGGCGAACACGTCCGGGTGGTGGCGGCCGGCCACGTGCAGCAGCTGGCAGCCCACGCGGCGCGGCAGCTCTTCCGCGCCCCCCACGTACAGGCGCGCGCCCAGAGCCAGCAGCGCCAGGCACTGTTCGCGCTCCAGAGGCTGCCGCGCCGCCTCCAGCACCCGCCGCACCAGCCCTTGCTTCACGCTCGCAGGGTACGACGAGGTCACCACCGCCTCCAGGATCTTGTCCATGACGGCCACGCTGCGGGGGACAGGAAGCGAGGTCAGCTGTGGGGCTCGAGCGCCGGAGTCCAGTTCCCGGTGGGATCCCCTGAGTACTGAGATTTGGGGCAAGCAATTCGACCCTTCTGGGCCTCGTTTTGGCTCATCTTTGCAATGGAGTTAGGGGACCTACCTCGCTGGGAGGAACGGAGAAGTAAGCCACGCATGTGGTACGCAATAAAACCCAGAGTCGCACCTCTGGCAGTTGAGTGCCCTCAATCCACCTTGATCCCTTTGCCCCTTTCTCCACAAGCCTCCCTGGGAACCTCAGCTAACCCTGGGGCAGGAGGGGCATCCATGAGCTTATTGGAGGAGTCTTCTCCAGATCACCTCCTCACAAGCCAGCGGAAGGGGCTCCCCATGATCCCTCGCCGTTTATTCTGTCCCCACTCAACGTCTTGCCCTTCCCCAAACTGCATACGCCTTTGCAAGACTTCACTTTTTGTAGGTGCTGTGCCTTTTGCCTACCTCCACCACCACATTCACACCAGGCTAATGCCTCTCTTCCTAAAAGCCTATCCAAAACACCTGTCCCAGGGCATAAACCCATCCCTCCCCTACTCCAGATTCCTAAAACCACCTGTAGCCTGTTCCTCCATATTACAGCAGCCACCACTTAGTGCTGGGGAAGGACGAGGCCCCATGCCCTCCACTGAAGCCCAGCACCTCCATGCTACCCGGCTCCACAGTCCTGTAGGCCCAGGGCAACGCCTGCTTCTCCAGCGTCAGCCCACACCAACCCATGCTCTCGGCTCGCTGTGGTTCTTCTGCCACTGGACCTTTGTGCACGATCCTCCCTCCCCTCCTGGCTTGGCCAGCACTTCAGACCTCAGCTGAAACTTCTTCAAGGAAACCTTGCCTAAACTCCCCGCCTGAGTCAGAGCTCTCAGCTGAAAAATCAGAACATTCTGTCCCTGTCCTTTATAGCACTTACGATTACTTGATTGGGGTCAGACGCAGAGTACAGAGTTAAGTCGACCTCACTCCTCTGAGCCATTAGCATCTCCCACCTGGGCTGTTTTCCTGGAAGCCCTTGCCCCACGCTGACTCCTGATTCTCCTGCTGGTTTTCACAGGTACAGCTTGCTCTCTTCATACCCCACACTCAGCTCCAAGAAGGCAGGGCTACTTTGCTTCTCTGTATAATCCTGCTCTATGCAGGACTTGATAGGAGGCTCAGCTTAAACTTACTGGCTCAGTGAAAACTACTTCAGCTTCACACCTTTAGCTGGTGAGAAGTCAAGCCAGCGATTTCCTGGATATGGGCTAGAAAACTTCCAGAACCAGATACCAGGAAGTGTGACTCAAGTGGAAGAGCGCTTGCCCAGTATGAGCCAGGCCCTGGGTTCAATTCCTAGCACTGAAAAAAAGAAAAATATATATATATTACGTGCCAGGCCTTGTAGAGATGCTCCCTTCTCTGTCCTAGTTCTTGGCTGTGACCAAAGCACCAGTCCCACACAGCCCCTTTGTTGAAGCAGCTGTGTCTCGCCAGGTGGTGGGATCCTTGGGATAGGAACCAGGGACAAGGCTTACTTCTCAATGGCTGGCGTCTCCCATGCAGAACAGAGCCTCTTAAGAGTTCACGGTGGTTGGAGGGGGAAGCCATGGCACAGATCCGTGGCTCCCAAATGCTAGCTTGGCTGCCTTAGTCACCTAGGCTCTTGTTAAAAGCACAGGCGCCCTGAGCATCTCACTGCAGGGATTTTGTCAGTTTGGCAGTGCTGGGGATGGAACCCAGCACCTCCTCCTAGGTTCATGCTAGGCAAGCACTCTACCACTGACCCACACCCCCAGCCTTTCTTTCCATTCTGTCACTTCACTTCTACTCTTGTGTTTTGTTCTTATATGAAATACATCTTTTGGTTGCTTGCTTTTTCTTTTTCTTTTGGTTTCATCTTGGGGGAAAAAAATTCACATGCCCAGCGCCCAGGCCTCCTGAATAAAGATGTGAGGGGAACTGTAGGTTAGACTCAGCTTTTTTACTCTGCACAAGGCTCAGTTAGGAGGCATTCTAGTGCCTAAAAAGGTGACTTTTGCTCCCTGGGCCTGTTTCCACTTTGCAGGGCTGTGAAGACAAATATAAAGTCCTTAGCATGCTCCTGGGCACGTGGACGTTCTCACTGCTCACTGCTTTAGAAGCGAAGTCCCAGCCCCTGAAAGAGCTTCATCTGGTGGCGGAGGATGATAATGTGTAAAGATGCCAATGCAAAGCATGAGCTCAGAGCCTTTAAAAAGTGTCTTTAAGGGGCTGGGGGCGTGGCTCAAGAGGTAGAGTACCTGCCTAGCAATTGTAAGGCTCTGAGTTCAAATCCCAATATTGCCAAAAAAGTGTCTAACAACTGGTCTCCAGGGGGCTTGGGGATGTAGCTCAGGGGTAGAGTGAGGTTACCTGGCATGCTCAAGACCCTCAGTTCAATCCCCAGCACCACAAAATAGATAAATAAATAAAATTAAATAAAAATCACCTCCCCCCCAGTTCTCTATTTCCTAGGCAATGCCTATAACCAGATAGTTGCAACCTCCCTGTATAACCCTGTCCATTCTCCCAGAGCCCTGGGACCATCTCCCCCTGTCCTGTAGGCTAGTGCATGTGACAGGCTTTCAAGCCAAGGTGCCAAGAAACCATGGGACTCAGGCAGCTGAGAAGAAACCCTAATCAGAGAGGTTCTGGCATCCTGTGTGGAGGACCAGGGCATGAGGCAGAAATGGGAGTTCTGGGGCCAGGGAAGGCTCTGGAAGAAGGAAAAAAAATCAGGAGAAATGGAGTCCTACCAGCCAGGCCGAACTCAGTGTGTGACCTTGAGGAAGGCACATCCTTGGGCCTCTTTTCTCATTTGAAAAATGGGAATGAATGACATGAGATTAAACCACATGACACTGAACGATCAAACGCTGGCAGTTTCCTGTGCATCTACCTAATACCACAAATGGTGGGCTCTGCCTGGCAGCTGGGAGCCCAGGCAGCAGCACCATTCTGGAAGGACTCCAATCCACAGGGCCAGCCCTACAGCCCTGCTCAGTTTGCGGCCTGGCCACACCACAGAGCCCTACTACCCACCCCCACTCCTACGAAAGCAGTTAGGTCAGCTATCACCATGGTCACCAGCAAACCCACTCAATAATATCTTGGATGCATTCATGTAAAAGGGTTTTAGAGGCTTCGACCTCACCTGACCCCCATCACAGGACAAGGAGTGGGAGGAGGAGCAGAAGGACAGGAACATGGCCCTGGCAGGGCAGGATTAGAACCTGCATACTCTCCCTCAGGGAGGAAGAAGCTAACCGGCCACCAGCATTCCTCACAAGAGGCTGGATTACCCACCCTACTAGGCCCCAGATGAGGTGACAGCCGTCCATACTGGCTTTGACCCAAGAGAGAAAGAGAGCTGTCCCGCACCAAGCACAGCAGTGGACAACAGCCCTCCTCCCTCAGAAGAGCCTGCACTGAGAGCAGGAGACCCAGCTTCTTTACTTGGAATTGCCTGATGACCTTGGAGGAGCTCCTGCCTGACTCCTCAGCCTTCTCACTAGAAAATGGGGACCATTCTAGGCCTGCCACTCACAGGGTTGGGACAAGGTATAAAACAACACGGGCTAGAGTGGTAGTCAGTCTATTATCATACCAAGTGGCACTGAAGGGGCAGAGTCAGGGGAGGGAGACAGACATACACTGCTGGCTGACCTGGCTGCTTCCAGAAAGAATTGGCTCCACTGCCCTCACTGCCAAGTTAGTGTTTCCACTCTCCCCTAAGCTCTGGCCCCACCCAAGATCAGCTCCCCTATACTTCTTTGCCTGGACTAGTGCAGTAGCCTCTTAAACAACCTCCTCAATCCCTCCCACCATTATTCCTCCAATAGCAGCACAGGTCCTGGAGAAAGACAGGTACCACCCACCATGGAGGCGGGGGCTCCTTCACCTCTCTAAGCTTCCAGAGTCCAAACCGAAGATGACCTGCCCACCCCTTGGCCTTTCCCAACCAGCACCCTGCTCCTCCCCAAGCCCTGCATTTAAGCCCTCACTGTACTGGCAAGATCGCTTGGAAGTCCCAGTGACACCCCACATGGTCCAGGGCACGCAGGAGCATCCCAACCCCAGAGGGCCTAGAGCCCTTCATTTGTCCCTCTAGGATGACGCTTGGTTTCTTTGCTGTGTGCTGAATGCTTGCTCACACACTGGGGAACCTAGCTTATCTCTGTCACCCTCAAAGACTCAGTGTGAGTGTGGAACTAGGGGGGAAGAGAGAAAAAAAAAATACACAGGGCTCAGCTCCACTTCCAGCCTTGGATCCCTCATCAGCTTTGGGCCCCAGCTCAGCCTTTATCACCCCTCCAGTCTCTCCAACCCACCAGGCAAGGTCAAATGACCCTCGTAAGTGATAAGCTCCCTCCTGCAAAGCCTGCTAGGACTCTCAAGGCTTCCCCGCTCCCCCTCAGGATAAGGTCCAAACTGCTGAGCCTGACATTCAGGTCTTTGGCTGTGACACTAAGCTGAGTGGGGCAGGGATGGGAATTTGGGTAGTGAGCTTTTTCCTGAAGTCCTCTCTGTAAGAAAGGGCTTCTCCCTCTTCTCTCCTGCCACAATCTGACTCATCCTGCAATGGCAGCTCCTGGGCCCCTCCTCTAGGAGGACTTATCCCTCTATAGTGCGACTCTGAGCTCTGGCCCCACTGTTCTTTTGGCTTCTTCCACTTTCTGCAGAATAAGTGGATTCCATTACTATCCCTCCCACCAGGTTGGGCTGTCCCAATCCCCATCTCTATGCCCAGGTCAGGAGAGTGCCCAAGCACAGAGGTGTCAAGAAGGTGTGCCTAGTGAACGATGAGGGACATGTAACAGTAAGATAAGATAAAATCATAGACGTGACCAGAAAAGTACCTTCCAGAGACGGCCTAACCCTGGGTCCAGTCACTGCCCCCTCCGCTGCCCAAGCCTGGTCTTGCACCTCCACAACCTTAGAATCTAAACATCAGCCCGAGATCACTGCGCTGGACTGAGAGGGCTTGGCCATTCTAGCAATGATTGGAAAAAGCAAAGCAAAACAAAAAACCTGATCCTGGTTAGTGGTCAGGTCAGAAGCTCACAGAATCTCATCAGCAGGGGAGAAGACCTTACCCAGAGGGCAGGCAGCGGCTCCCGCACCCAGGCGTGGTGGACTCATTTGTTCCCCTCTCAGACCCTCCACCCAGCCTCCCTCCTCTGACTCCCCTGGGTGCCAGGGCTGCGGGGGAGGGAGGAGTCGCCCCTGTTCCTCCCCCCAGAAAGCACTCTCCATCTCTGGCCCGTCAGGTTCCAGACAGCATCTCCTGTATTTAACTGAAGTTCCAGCCGAGGCAGACTTGGGAAGGTGCCTTCGCCCTACTCTGGGAGACAGGCTGGGCCACCACACTGCCTCCGGGAGAGAGAGGGGAAAGGTTCTACTGTGCCCTGTTATTGATGGGGGAGGAAGGTAGGAGCAGCTGTTCCTGCCTTGGGGCATGCCACACTCACCCACCCTGCGGGGTCACCTCACAAACCCCTGCGGGCTGCCCCCCCACTCCCACTCTCAGCTTTCTAGAAGCTGACATGTCAGGACTCCAACCTGCAATGGCCTTGATAGTTGAAGTGTCCCAGGCCCGGGGCGGGACTGAAATAGCAGAAGCCCACTCCAAGCAGTGGTGCCCCCTCCCTCAGTTCTACCAGTGCACCTGTGCCCAATCCGGCCTGGGACCCCTGCACAAAAACCTGGAGAGCTTCATGGTTTAAGGAGCGGGTGCCCTCAGCCCTGAGGAGGGCGGGAGCTGGACCACCTCGATATACAACTGATGAAGGAGGTTGAGGCCCAGAGAGGGGTAGCTAGTCACCCAAGGTCACACAGCAAGGCCCAGGATGCACCCAGACCTCCCGCCTCTCAGCCATGGGCTCTCAGAGCCCTACAGGCGAGTATGGGTGCAGGCAGCCCCGCCCCAATCCGCACAGACATCCACTGTAACCCCCTTACCTCCCGGACCTCAGCAAGGCCCTACCTCAGAGCCGGCTCCTGGGCGGGGTGCTCAGGCCAGGCTGGACTAGGCTGGGCCGGGCTAGGTCAGGGTGGGTCTTCTGCTCCCTCCAGGGAGGGGTCTCCCTCCGCCAGTCCCAGACGACAGGGATGCTGCCTCGACTGCAAAGGGCAATCCGCCCACCCCGCTCGGATAACCCCGTATGGACTCGAAGAGGCCGACTCTGCAGCGCGGCCGCGGGGCTGCGGGACGGAGCGGGGGGAGGGGCGAGGTGCGGGAAACGGGGCGGAGCCGGAGCGGGGGCCACCGGCGAGCCGCCACTCGGACCGCGTCCCCTTTAAGGCCAGCTGGCCTGCGCGCCGACGGGGCGGGGCGAGAGCCGGGCGGCCCCCGCGACGCCTCCTGGGAGGTGGAGTCCGTACGGGGCCGCGCGGAGCCCGGGGAGGACTACAAGTCTCGGGGCGCCGCGCGCGCCCCAGCCGCCCCTCCCCGCCCCGGGACTGGCCACCGGCCCTCCGGCCCTCCGCCCCTCGCCGAGCTGCGCCGGCCGCCCGCGGAGGGGAGGCTGCGGAGTGCGGGCTGGAGGTGGGTGCGGCGCGGCCCCGGGTCGGGTGGAGGGTAGAGGGAAAGGGGGGGTCGAGATCCACTGGCGACAGGGCACGGGCGCATCGGGCACCTATCCTGCCACGCAGGGTCATTGGTCCCGGCCTCAGCGTTCTCATCTGCGAAATGGGGTGGCTGCGGGGGACGGGCGCACGCGGACACCCGGAGCCCGAGTGGGCAGACCTAGGGAAGAGGGGCCAAGCTGGTGGGAGGGGCCAGGCGGATGGCGACGGTGGGGGAAGCCCGGATCTGGAGGGTCGGCGCTGTGGGAGGAGCCTTTGGTGGGAGGGACAAGGAGGGGCGGGGCCCCTAGGCGGGAAGGGGACCCGACAGGTCCGAGGTCGGCGCTTGCAAAGCCCGCGACGCAAGTCTGGGTTGCACTGGGTGGAGGGGAGTGGGAAAGAAGGGTGGAGACACGCAGAAGAAAGGGCAGAGCCCAGGGTGGGTGCAGCAAGGGCCTGTGGATGCGCACGCGCCACACCTGCCTTTCCCTGGAACTAGAAATAAACAGTCCGTCCCTTGAACTCAGTGCGTCACACACAGGATCTTACGCGACTCACACACCCGTACCTGTTACAGGTGAGGTGACTTGCCCCAAGCCACTTAGGACTCCCGGCAGGGAAAGATCAGGCTTGGATGCCTTGCCCTCCCATGGAGCCGACAGGACCAGTTCCGTCAACCCTAATGAATGGCAGGCTGTCAGGCAGTCCTAGGGCGTTGTGAGGATGAAACCAGGAGACCGATTGAAAGCCCTTCGTAATTTATCGTTGATGGCAGGAGCACGAAGACCACAGGCAGAGAATGAAGTGGGGTGCTGTGCCTGAGGAAAACCACAAGATGAAGCATAAGAGTGAGCTGAGAGGGCCAAGGAACATTCCGGAAAAGGGTGGAGGATGGTGGTTGGAGTCTGCACCAGGTGGAAGGATGCTTTGCTAGTAGGAAAGTCTTGCTGGGTCAGGTGGCTTTCTTCCTCCAGCCCACCTTACCCCATCAGGCCCTAATGGACCCTCACTCAGAGTACCTGTGTCAATCTAGGAAGCAGCTTTTCTCTCCTTCAGGTAGATTGTGGGAATAATGGAGCAGCCTGTGGGCTTCTTAGAGATAAAGACTGGGAAGATGGGACTAAAGATACAGCTGTTGGAGCCGGTGCCAGTGGCTCATGCCTATAATCTTAGCCACTCAGGAGGCAGAGATCAGGAGGATCGCAGTTTGAAGCCAGCCCGGGCAAACAGTTTCCAAGACCCTATCTCGAAAAACTCATCACAAAAAGGCTGGTGGAGTGGCTCAAGGTGTAGGCCCTGAGTTCAAACCCCAGTACAGAAAAAAAAAAAAAGATGACAGCTGTTGGGAGCCAGGCCTGGGAGTGGGGAGGTAGAGGGCAGTGACTACATAGGCCATAAGGCAGTGAGCTGTAGTCCTCATCCTGGTGTGCTGACTGAGTAAGGTGGTGATGTATCTGGTTTATTGGAAGACACAGTGCTCACTCAGCATTGTCATCCTTGAAATTTACCCCACATGCCCTGTCCATTCCCTGCACAGTGGGAAACCTTGCATTTACTTCCAGGTGATTATGAGGTGCTCCATGCTTTAGATTCCAAGTTGGAAATTCAAGAGAGTATTTCAAAATAAAGTTTTAAGAACCCAAAAGAAGGTGATAAATCTTCCTGTTGGTAGGTGACTGACAGTCTGGCTTGGGTAAATGGATCTGACTACACAGGGGAAGACATTTCTTCCCACCTCTGGAGATAGAGAATGGCATTCCAGGACCAACTGTAGACCCCTGTCTAGTTAAGTTGTCTGTGGTCAGGAGAGAGAATAGAGTGCTCAGAAGAGAAGAACAGGAGGCCTAGCATATGAAGGAGATTTCCTTTGCAGTTCTGCCAGAGAGGATGGCAGATGCCACATTTCACAGGTAGAGAGGACCTGGCAAGGTTGTCTACAAGGAGGGATAAAATGGTATCTGCTTCATCTCTGAGACTGAGAGCTTACCATGCTTAAAGTACCTAGCACAGCAATAACTGCTCAGTAGATGTTAGCCTGCTATTATGGTGGTTGTTACTGTCACCATTTGGCCTGGGAATTGACCTAGGACCACACAGCTAGTAAGTGGTGAACCTGATTCACATACAGGCTCAGGCCAGAAACTATACCCCTCAAAGCCCCTCTGGTTCTTAAAGTGACCCTCATTGAGAACATACTCAGTGAGGTGACTGACTCTGGGGTCAGAAGAGGCACCAAAAATAAGGCCTGAACAGCTACAGGATCCCATCATGGAAGACAGGCAGGCCAAGTGCTATGGCTACTAAAGGTGGTGGGTCCATCTAGAGAGACCACCCAGCTTAAACTTAAAAACTCCTCCAACTCTGGGCCATCTTGTCTTAGCCCTGGTTGCCGTCCTTGTCTTCCAAACTGCAGCAACACTTGGGGAGGGGACTTAAGAACTTTTAATATTTTTAGTAGCAACAACAAATCTATAGTTTACTGAGTCTGGTTATTTATTTATTTATTGGGGTCTTGCATTTCTGGCTGCACCCACACATCTATGGTTCTGTGAGGGAAATAGTCTTTCAAAATGCAAATATTTTTAATTTCTAAGCCTACAGAAAAGCTTAAAGCCCTTCACCTAGATTCATCAGTTCGCACTTAGCCACTCTTGATGTTACACTTCTTTTTCTTTTTTTTCCCCAACATTTTTGTCTGTACTGGGGATTGAAGCCAGGAGCTCACACATCCTACACCCCCAGCTCTCTTGTTTTTCTATCATTTTTGAGGTAGTGTCTCTAGCTTTTGCCCAGCTGGCCTCAAACAAAATCCTCCTGCCTCTGCCTTCTGAGTAGCTGAGATTGCAGACTTGCACCAGCACAAAACTGTTTTAAAGTAAGTTATAAGCCAGGCATCCCTGTAGTCCCACCTACTCAGGAGGCTGAGTCAGGAGGATCACTTGGACCTGGGAGTTCCAGTAAAGCATTGAGAGACTGTATCTCAAAACACACACACACACACACACACACACAGACTTAGACCTTGGCACTTGATATTAAAGTTTTTCAAGTTTAAAAAAAAATACTCTATAGTTATTGGGTTTTTTTAATCAAAGCTAGTCAAAATTCACATATTGGCTGGGCGTGGTAGTGCACATTATAATCCCAGCTACTCGGGAGGCAGAGATAGGAAGATCAAGATCTGAGGCTGACTGGGTAAAATTGAGAGATCCTATCTGAAAAACTAAAAGGAAAAGGATTGGGGGGTGTGGCTCAAGTTACTAGAGTGCCAGCCTGGGTGTGGGGGGTAAAAGAGGGAGAAACAGATTCACGTATTGTGTTTGATTTTGTCTCTTTGAGCAACTCATTTAATCTAAATAGAGCTGCTGCACCTGTTTAAGTATGTTTGCTTAGTTCCTCAATTATTAGATTCAGGTTATTTTTCTTGTTTTGAAACGTGTACTTCTGATTGCATGGAATCAGGAGTGTGTGGTATCAGGGTCCTCCTGTCTATGAATGCAAAATCTGATTATTGGTTGAGATTGTGACCTCCTGCCAGGCACCAGTGGCATATGCCTGTAATCCTAGCTACTCAGGAGACACAGATCAGGAGGATCTCGGTTCAAAGCCACCCCAGGCAAAAGTTCAAGAGACCCTATCTCGAAAAAACCCATCACTAAAAAGGGCTGGTGGAGTGGCTGAGATGTAGGCCCTAAGTTCAAACCCCAGTACCACAAATGAATAAAGATTGTGACCTCTTGATATCCCCATTGTAAGGCTAAATTCTTCTCTTAAGTAAGTGTGTAAAGTGGTTCTCTAGACTGTAAGAGTTGTGTGTTCCTTCCATATCACATCTGTGATGACATTTGCCTTACCATTCAGGGTTACAAAATGGCACCCTTCTAATTCTACCATTCCTTTTACACTTACTGGTTGGTATTCATTTTTATAGAATAACTTTTTCCTTTGTCTTATTCCCTGTTCCCTCCCCCCCCTTTTCTTTTTTCAGTAACATTATGGACCAGTGATTTTTTTTTAATTCAGTGTACTAAAATTCATTTTCATCATCATTCTTGATACTTAAATTATCCTAAATTTGGCCTTCAGGCCAGCTCCTTTAGTCTTTTTTTTTAATTTCTTTTATTCATATGTGCATACAATGTTTGGGTCATTTCTCCCCCCTTCCCTAACCCTCCATCCCCTTCCTCTCCTCCCCTACCCCCTCGCTACCAGGCAGAAACTATTTTACCCTTATTTCTAATTTTGTTGAAGAGAGAGTATAAGCAATAATAGGAAGGACCAAGGGTTTTTGCTGGTTGAGATAAGGATAGCTATACAGGGAGTTGACTCGCATTGCTTTCCTGTACATATGTGTTACATTCTAAATTAATTCTTCTCAAACTAACCTTTTCTCTAGTTCCTGGTCCCCTTCTCCTATTGGCCTCTGTCGCTTTAAAGGTTCTGCATTAGTTCCTTTGCATTGAGGACATCAAATGCTATCTTGTTTTTTTTGGGTTTCTTGCCTATCCTCATACCTCCCTCCTGTGCTCTTGCCTCATCATGTGCTCACAGTCCAATCCCCTTATTGTGTTGCCCTTGATCTAATGTCCGCATATGAGGGAGAACATACGATTTTTGATCTTCTGGGCCAGGCTAACCTCACTCAGAATGATGTTCATCCCTTTACCTGCAAATGATAACATTTCGTTCTTCTTCATGGCTGCATAAAATTCCATTGTGTACAGATACCACATTTTCTTAATCCATTCGTCAGTGGTGGAGCATCTTGGCTGTTGCCATAACTTGGCTATTGTGAATAGTGCCGCAATAAACATGGGTGTGCAGGTGCCTCTGGAGTAACCTGTGTCACAGTCTTTTGGGTATATCCCCAAGAGTGGTATTGCTGGATCAAATGGTAGATCAATGTCCAGCTTTTTAAGTAGCCTCCAAATTTTTTTCCAGAGTGGTTGTACTAGTCTACATTCCCACCAACAGTGTAAGAGGGTTCCTTTTTCCCCACATCCTCACCAACACCTGTCGTGGGTGGTGTTGCTGATGATGGCTATTCTAACAGGGGTGAGGTGGAATCTTAGTGTGGTTTTAATTTGCATTTCCTTTATTGCTAGAGATGGTGAGCATTTTTTCATGTGTTTTTTTGGCCATTTGAATTTCTTCTTTTGATCCTTTAGTCTTTTGATGTAACCTTGCTAGTCTTGAATTACTTCTTTGCTATCTGGCAAGAGAAATTCTAGTTCAGTTGGTACTTTCCTAACAGTTTCTAGAGTCATCATTTCTCCAGAAAGCCCTGGTTTCTTGCTCTAGGAGCTATCTAGAAAGAGCCATGGCCCAGGTGCTTGTAGTAGTATTTCTAGGCATTGTGAGTGAACAGAGCTATGAGAGAAAGAGAGTAAGCGTAAATGAGGGAGAGAGTTTGCCATTTTCTAGCAGGTGTGTAGTGTGACAACAGCTGGTGCACACTGACAGTACAAAAAGGGCAGACTGTGTGGGAAGCAGATTCATTCTGGAAGTAATACAGTTCATTATGGCGGTGGGCAGGAATGTCAGAGTGGAAGTTGCACAGAAAAAGCCCATGCCTGCTCCAGGCTCCACAAGTGCACAGCTCTTGGCTAGGACCTTTGTGGCTAATCCTTAGACTGCAGGATACACCAGGTTGCCTCCTGAGGTCTTGTTCCCTGGAGGGTGTCCAACCTGGAACCTCCCATAGGCCCTGACTCACAGGTCAAGAATGAACGTGAAGCCCCAGGCAGGGGGTTCATTCATCCTGAGTCTGGTTCAGGTTGTCTGTGAAACAAAGATAATTTGATCTGTCTTGCCTAGGTCCCAGAGTTGTTGGAAAAGCTAATATATAATTTATTTGTTTTTAAAAATTGCTCCCCAGTCTCTTCAGTGTATTTATTACAGAATTCCTTCTGGAGTTGGGATTAGCTCAGTGGTACAGCATTTGCCTACCATGCACAAGACCCTGGGTTCAATCCCCAGCACTGCAAAAAAGGAAAAACAAATCCTTCTGCTTTTCATTGTTTTAGTACTGCAGTTTGAATTGTCATTGCTTTATGGTCTGATTTAATACATTACACTAATATATCACCTCTTTTTTAAATATTCTTTTGGGTTATCACTCATCTATTCTTCTAGATTTAGATTTTAATTTTTTTAAGTGAAAAGCACTATTGTACCTATTTGTGTTTGGATTAGAATATCATAACAAGTATATATGGGTGTGCGTGTGTGTATGTGTGTATTTTTTTTTTTATTTGCGGTGCTGGGGGTCGAACCTCAGCCTCAGGCATAGGAGGCAAACACTACTGTTGTGCTGTAACCCCAGCCCCTACAATTAATTTTAATGAATAGTTACAAAAACATGCCCACCGTGGCTCAAGGCATGTTGGGGTACTCAGGAAATGTTGATTGTCTGTCCCCCAAGCCTTTTTGTAGGACAGAAGCAAGTTGAGGTGGCAGGTGTGAGAACACCTGGTGAAGAGGAGAAGAAGGACAAGTGACAGACCTTGCTGACAGAGGAGCATCACTGTTCGGAGAACAGACTTGACAGGCAGACAGGCCTACGCTTACCTCCCAGCTTTACCACACCGTGGGCAAGATATCTAACGTCTCCAAGCCTCAGCTTCTCCTTTGCAAAATGTGCTTTCCTTGAAGTAATGTTATAGAGCTTAAAGGAGCTAACATACAGTGTACCTAGCACCAGTTTTGCTACACAGGAAGCACTCAGTGAGCCTTAGCTGTTTTCTTCATGAGGTCTGTGAGCACTGAAGCTGCCAGGACATGGTTTGAAAGTAGAAATCTCAAGAACAGTGTGTGTGGCATCTTGGCTGCCCTTCTTTGTGGGGCATCTCCTCTCAAAGATTTCTATTTTCTGTCATAATCACAGGTTGCAAATGGTGATTTTCAGGCTTTGGACTGAAATTGCCCCTCCCACTGTGCCAGGCTGGGCACCCTCTCACTGAAGCTGAGGCTCCAGACCCAGGCACTCTGGCCTCACCCTGTCAGATGCTCTGACATGGTGTCATCTGGTATGACACCACACCCTGAATTTTCTCAGGGAGATAGATGGACTGATCTTTTTCCTGCTTCTCAAGTGGAAAGGCAAATTGGAACTCCAGATTTACCTCCTGGAAAATCACCTCAAAGAGAAGTAGTCACACACCCACAGTGGTACTGTTTTGTTTTGTTTTGTTTGTTTTGTTTTTGGTGGCATGAGGGTTTAAACTCAGGGCCTCACACTTACTTGGCAGGCACTCCACCAGCCCTTTCGGTGATGGTCTCATAAACTATTTGCCTGGGCTGGCTTCTAACCACAATCCTCCTAATCTCTGCCTCCTGAGTAGCTAGGATTACAGCATAAGCCACTAGTGCTGGCTGTGGTGCTATCTTTGAACTTCTATTTCCTGTTTCTGTATGCATTCTCATTCACCTTTTGTGACTTTGTTTTTTAAAACCTGGCCTTTTGTGATTTTCTTCTTTATCCTTAGACCTCATGGGTTGCTACTGAAGTAGAAAGGCTTTGACTGCTCAGTGGACTTGCCTGTCAGCTGTGGAGAGGACAGGGCCATCCTGGGTTCCTGGCCCCTCACGCTCCAGATATGAGTGGGAAGAGCCCAAGACTGGCAGTGGATGACCTCTGCCAGGCTGTCAAGCAGTCATTCGCCTACTCATGTTTCACATTGGGGTCCCATGGTGGAAAGGAAAATGAGCAGAGCTGTGGGACTCAGTCCTGGATTCAGATCCCAGCCTCACACTAACTAGGTATGTAACCCAGAGTCACCTCCTAGCTGTCCTTTTTTTTTTTTTTTTTTTTTTTTGACAGTACTAGGGTTTTAATTCAGGACTTTGCATTCATATCCTTTCTGAGCCCCAGCTTCCTCGTCTGGAAAATGGAGAAGATAATAGTATTGTAGGGAAGGAAAATGTCGCTTCCCTGTATTAGATTCTTGTGGGAAAGGGGGTTACAAATTAAGTTGTTATAAAACAGATTAACAAGAGAAACTCATTTTAATCAATATGTACACACTCAGGAAGTCCCCCAGATAAAAGACTCAGAGAAAGGCCAGATGACTTGAGTCTGTACAGCATCCTGAGCTACATACAGAAATGAAAAGGGTCTCAGGTGATAAAAGTTGTGTCAGTAACTCGCTTCTTGGTACGGATAGATAGGTTGCTAATGAGAGTTTGTAAATTGCCTTTACAAAACGGCAGCTTTTTAGAGCTGCTTCTCTGTCTGCAGGTCCCCAAAATCACCAGCTGAAAATAATCAACATGCCAAAGACAAGTGGTGTATTCTGGTCTCTTAAAGTCATATTTGGGGTGGTCTTGGACCCTAGTAGTACCCATCTCAATGTGTGATTGTGAAGACTTTGAGGCAATGCATTGAAAGCATTTAGCACAACAGAATCATTTTCTCTACTCGTCTGTGTATTTTTATTACAAGTAGGGCTGGGGATGTAGCTCAGTTCAGGGGTAGAACACAGGCTTAGCATGCATGAGGTCCTGGGTTTCCTGTCCAGCACTGAAAAAAAGAAATGAATAAATGAAAAGAAGTAGGCTGTGGGTGTAGTCCAGAGGCAGAACATCTGCTTAGCATGCACAAGACCCTAGGTTCAATCCCCAGCACCAAAAATAACAATAGAGAAAATGCTGCCAAGTGTTAGGTGTTGCCCAACAGGTAGCAGCCATTGTCTTGCCAAGCAAGCTGCAGAGCATTGTTTGAAAAAGCTGCTTCAGGAAATTTCAAACTTTTTAAGGCTTATTGCAGCCTTTTGTTGCTATTACAATTCTCATCACCAGTTTGTTTATTTGTTTGTGGAACTAGCGTTTGAAGTCAGTGCCTAGCCAGGCAGGCACTCCACTACCAGCCCTTTTGGCTTTAGGGCCTGGACCTCGATAGCTGGGCTAGCATAGCTGCATAGCTGGGATGACAGGCGTGCACAACCACACCCAGCTTGTCTGTTAAGATGGGATCTTGCGGACCTTTTCCCTGAACTGGCCTTGAACCTAGATGCTCCCAGTTTCCACCTCCCACGTAGCTGGGATTATAGGCATGTATCATCTCACCTGGCTCATCCCCAGGTTGTTTTAGTTGTATTGTTTGTTGTGGTACTGGGATGGAACCCAGGGCTTTGTGCATGCTAGGAAAGTGCTCAACTAGGGAGCTACAACCCTAGCCTCCAAAACTACTTTATTCTCACATCAATACCAAATGTGCAGGGCTTCTCTCACAGTTACTAATTCTCTGTTCACCTGGCGTTCCCACAGATCCCATAGGTTAAAGGCTCAGTGAGACTAAGACCGCCACCACTTCAGACATAGATTGCAGTCTCAGTTATCGCCTGTGTAACTAGCTGTAATCTGAGGTTCCTACAACCCCCTCCTCAGTGCCATGATTTACAAGAACAGCCCACAGAATTCAGGAAGACCGTTTACTAGATTACTGGTCTATTATGGAAGGATACAACTCAGGAACAGCCTGATGGAAGAACTGCATAGGCCAAGGATGGGGGACAGGCCAGCAGCTTCCAGGCCCTGCAGGCCTCCACCCTCATGGTACATCCATGTGCTCACCAATTCAAGCTACTTGGAAACTGTGTCATTTGAGGTTCCTATGGAGGCATCCTTATGTAGCAGAGGTTGAGTAAGTCATTTGACAACCGTGGCTAAGTCATTCCCCAGCCCCTCCCTAGAGGTGAAGGGTGAAAGTTCCTAGCTGGTTCTCTGGCAACCTTACAGGTTTTCCTTAAGGGCGGTCCAAAATGATTGCATTAACATAAACTCAGGGGTAGCTGACAAGGGTTTCTTAGGATTAACAAAAGAAAGAGTATCAGATTAAATCTTACTCATTTTAGTGCAGTTTTTCTTTAGAATTTAAAATGCTGGAGAAAGGGAGAGATAGTAACTCTGGAAAGGACAACTCCAAGAGCGATCACTGTTACTTGTGATTATTTTATCATCCATATGGCCACTTTTACAATGTGATTATTTATCATTCATATATCTTCTTTGGTAAAATAAATTTGTTCAGGTCTTTTACCCATTTTTAAATTTGTAATTTGTGCTTGGAGTTGAACATCTGCTAGGTAAGTGCTTTGTCACAAAGCTACATCTCCTTGCCTATTTTTTAATTGGGTTGTTTTCTTCTTTCTTTTCTTTTTTTGGTATGACTGGGATTTGAACTTGGATCTTCACACTTAAAGCAGACACTCTACTGCTTGAACCGCAACCCCCAGTCCATTTTGATCTGATCATTTTGGAGATGGGGGTCTCAAGAACTATTTGCCTGTGTTGGCCTTGAACCTCCATCCTCAATCCTTCCAATATCAGCCTTCCAAGTAGCTAGGATTATAGGTGTGACAGGCTTTTGTTTTCTTTTTTTTTTTTTCTTTTGTTTTCTTATGATTTATGTGCTCTGTTAATCCTCTAACAGATGGGTGTTTTGCAGATATTTAATCTATGTCTTATTCTTTCATGTTCTTTATTTCTGGTACTGGGATTTGAACTCAGGACCTCATGCTTGCAGGCAGATATTCTATCACTTGAGCTACACCTCTATCTCTCATTTTCTTTTTTTTTTTTTTTGCAGTACTGAGATTTGAACCCAGAGCCTCGAGCTTCCTAGGCAGGTGCTCTACCAGTTGAGTCACTCCACCAGCCCTGTTTTGTTTGGGTATTTTTGAGATAGAGTCCCATGAATTATTTTGCCCTGGCTGGCTTTGAACTTCAATCCTCCTGATCTCTGCCTCATGAGTAGCTAGGATTACAGGTGTGAGCCACCAGCACCCAGCTAGCCCTCACTTTCTTAATGTTTTTTTTGAAGAGTAGTTTTTCTTTTAAATGGAGTCTATTTATCAATTTTTAAATGGTTAATTAATCCCTTTTGTTTCCTATCCAAGCAGTCTTTGCCTAAATAACCCAAAGTCACAAAGATTTTTCTCCTGGAAGCTTTATAGTTACAGGTTTTCCATTTAGATATATAATCCACCGTGAGTTAAGTTTTCATATTTGATGTAAGAGATGAGTCAGGGTTCTTTTTCTCCCATATGGATGTAGTGATCTGTGTTTTGGTAAAACAGGGAAGAGTGCCATGGGCAAAGCAGAGCAGGAGTGACAGTGGCGAGTGCTGCCTGTGAGGGTTGTACAAGGTTCCAGGAAGCCCTAAGAGAACAGGTCTTAATGCAAAGGAGGGTTGGGGACAGCCTTACAGAGTCAGTAGCTACTAGATCAGGCCTTAAAAGTGGACAGCAGAGAAGGTGGGGAAGGTAGAAGAGTGGTGTAGAAGAGCAAAGGCAGGGCAGGTGACAAGGTAAGGTGACACAGTGTGGTATGTGCAGTGCCAGTGCCTGGAGTACATGGAGGGGCAGGGTTGGAGGTGAGAGAGGAAGAGCAAGGTGGTTTGGGCAGGGAGTGGGGTCACAGAAAGGTCAGATGCAGAAGATGGAGGGTAGACCGAAGTAGGGAGCCAAGGGAGGACATGGGAGTGTACCGGGAGCAGAGAAGAGACCTGAGCTCCCACAGTAGCTCTAGAGGTGGGTTCAAGGAGACAAGAGTCAAGACACATTATAGAGCTGAAGAGTCGGGCTGCCTCCCAGATCTTGGTCCCGGGCATTTGGTGGCTGGGAGGCAGAGGAATTCTGTTAGGCTCTGATACCTGTGGAATATCCAGAAAGAGATGGCCAGGAGGCAGCTGGGTACACATGGGGAAAAGGGGAGTAACTAGAGGTATTAGTTCACTACCACCCGATTGCAAGTGCCTCACTATGAAGCTCTCACCCACCCCAGAGGTACCATTTCCTGCCCCTCTCATGTCACATCCTTGGGCCTTTTGCACCAGGGCCTGTGGGTTTGTAATAGTGGACACTGTGGTCCAGCAGCTAGAACACAGGACTTTGGAGGGCTGTGCCTCACTAAGTGTGGGATGAACCCCACAGAGAGCACCCTGGATTGAGGACAGAAGGCCTGCCTTTTAGCCAGCCTCTACCCCTACTGACTGTGACTCTGTTGCCCTCCCAGACAGATGACTGCGACCATGGTGTCATGGTGGGAGCAGGCAAGCAGGTGCTCCGCTGCTTTTGTGAGAGAAATGGGTATTGGGAGACCCACCAAGGATCCGCAGGAATGCCTTATGTCCAGTGACTACCTCCTCCACCCAGTGTCCTGAGCATTTTTGCACCAATGCCTGCAGGAGATATGGGGTCTATGGCATGCAGAATGTCAGAAAAGGCAACCCAGCCTCTCTGACGCCTGAGCCTGCTCCTTCCATAGTGCTGAGCCACTTCACAGAGCCTAGGCCTGAAATCTAAAGTTTTGAAAGGGGTTATTTGGCTTTGTTTCAAGGAGACTGAAAACTATAGTATGTAATTATTATCTAGAAAGAAAAGGAAGTAGAGGAGACTAGAGTCCTGGGAAGAAGGAGACAGAAAGGAGAAAGAAGATTCTAGAATGAGTGGGATGATCCACTCCTCAGTCCAGCATCCTCCCGAGCTCCTGCTTTGGGCCAGACTCCACCCAGCAGCATCCTCCACCGTGGCTCCCCACCGCTTTCTGTTGGACCTCCCCGCTGTCTCACAGCCCATCTGCTCCAGGCTTCTGCCAGTGATGTTATAACTTCATCATGGGCTTGTTTCCTTTCAGACACTCCAGATGGTTAATGCTTTTCTGCAATATCAAAGTGCCCCATTAGACTGGAAAGGAATCACCAGCCCCACCCGCCGCCCAAGAGAGTTGGGCAAAGCAACTGAGCATCTCCCATACCCAGCCTGGTTCCCATCCTCTGCTGAAAGAGGGTCTTGGTGCAGTCATCCTCTTCAGAAGGCAGGCACATGGTAAGAAAGGCTTGCTACCTCTACTAGGTGACTTTGGAAGTCCTCCCCAACCCTCGTGGACCTCTATTTCTCCATCTGGCCAGTAAGTATGCTTAGCAAGATGTTTCTTGATGTGCCAGGATTTATTTCCCCCAGCTCTTGGTACATCTGCCTTGTCACTGCACCCTCACTGTCTCTTCCCGCCCCCACACCCCCATCTGTCTGGGCTCTCGAGAGAGCAGCACTGGAGCTGATTCTTCTTGGTGCCACCTCTACCCTCAATGTTAGGGGGTGCATCCATTCTACAAGTTGGCTCTGGGGGAGTATGTTGGAAGCTGGATGCTTTCTAGAACCTGAAAGGTTGAAGGAGACTCATGGGCCCTAGATAGTGGAGGCTGTGAGATCAGTAGAGGGCATTGTTAAAGAGTGGGTAGAGCCCTCAGGAAGGGAGCTCGGGGCACAGTCCCACATTGGCACTGGCCCTGCAGTCAGTTTCAGAGTAGGTCAGGGAACTGGGAAAGGGAGGGCATCCATCAGGAGCTAAGAGCATCTTCATGGCGAAGCAGGAGGAGACTAAAAGGGATTGTCATTTGAAGGCCAGAGGGATGAGCAACCTTAGCTCTGGTAGGTAGATGGAAATGGCAGTAGTCACAGCCATTCATAAATTCTTTGAGAGAAAAACTTCAGTTCAGAGGCAGCATCAGTACAGTAGGGATATTTGGCCTGGAGTGTTAAATCTCAAAGCATTTGTTAAGTACCTACAGCATACCAATATTTGGCTAGTAAGCATTTACACATCTTTCTTCACAAAAAAGGGCCTGAGTTTGAATCCTGTGGAGGCATTTCACCCCCTTGAGATGGGGGAATGAGTCCTGGCACGGTTTTTCTCAACTGCACAACAGAGCTGGATGATGGTATTGTCTGAGTCAGAAGATGATACAGCTGCTATGTAAGCAAATAGACATAAAAGCATGCAGCATAGCTTCCATCTGGGCACATTTTCCTTTCTTCCTTTAGACCAGTCACTCTCTATCCTCACTGAACATTTAGAATCACCAAGGGAGCTTTTCAAAAATACCAGTGCTGAGGCCATGTTCCGGACCAATTAACAGTCTCTAGGGACAAGGACCCAGGCTTTGGGGTTGGTGTGTATATATGTATTTGTGCGTTAGCTCCAGCTTGAATCTAATGTGCTTTACACAGTGTGGCAATTACTAGCCATTCATTGGGTATTAATTCATTTCTACTCCAAGGAATGTAGGCTGATCTGCAATTAGGAGTTAAGAACTGTGACTACCTACAGACAGTTGAATAATAGTCATTTCTCATTTTTCCCTCTCTAGGACTATCTCCCAGCACCCCAGCCTCCTGCCATGTCCGACCCCATTACTCTAAATGTGGGGGGGAAGCTTTACACAACCTCACTGGCAACTCTGACTAGCTTCCCTGACTCCATGCTGGGAGCCATGTTCAGTGGAAAGATGCCCACTAAGAGGGACAGTCAAGGTAACTGCTTCATTGACCGTGACGGCAAAGTGTTCCGTTACATCCTCAACTTCCTGCGGACTTCCCACCTGGACCTGCCCGAGGACTTCCAGGAGATGGGCCTGCTGCGTCGGGAGGCCGACTTCTACCAGGTGCAGCCCCTGATTGAGGCCCTGCAGGAGAAGGAGGTGGAGCTGTCCAAGGCCGAGAAGAACGCCATGCTTAACATCACACTGAAGCAGCGAGTGCAGACAGTGCACTTCACTGTGCGGGAGGCACCCCAGATCTATAGCCTATCGTCCTCCAGCATGGAGGTCTTCAATGCCAACATCTTCAGCACATCCTGCCTCTTCCTCAAACTCCTTGGCTCCAAGCTCTTCTACTGCTCCAATGGCAATCTTTCCTCCATCACCAGCCACTTACAGGATCCCAACCACCTGACCCTGGACTGGGTGGCCAATGTGGAGGGCTTGCCGGAGGAGGAGTACACCAAGCAGAACCTCAAGAGGCTCTGGGTGGTGCCCGCCAACAAACAGATCAACAGCTTCCAGGTCTTCGTGGAGGAGGTGCTGAAAATCGCGCTGAGCGATGGCTTCTGCATCGACTCTTCTCATCCCCATGCTCTGGATTTTATGAACAATAAGATTATTCGATTGATACGGTACAGATAGAAAGACCCCAGCAACAATGGGGTGGGGGTTCTCAACAAGCTCCATGTCAGTCAAGGCCTTGGAGTGTCTCGCCAGTGTTATGAGGCAGGGGACTATACTAATGAGTATTAATTGCATAGCAGGGCACTTGATTCCCCCATGATGAATGCCACCTTTTGGAATCCACATGTCCTCTGAACAGAGTCACCTCTTGCCATTTTGAGCTGGAGATGGGCAGTTTATTATGACAAGGGAAGAGTCAGCTGATGGGTATGAGCAGAGTCCACAGGAGTACTTCATGTCCAGGACAAAGGAGCAGCAGTTTTCTCGTGGGCTCCATCACTATACCACTAGCCAGGACATAAAGGGCCCAGAAGATCCCATCATGCCTGCTTTCCCTTCTCTAGGATGTGTCCAGGATCTTGGACTTGTTTGCCCATTTGGCTGGCTTGAAATGCATTGTGGCCCCAGAGCCCTTTGGTGACCCTCACTCAGGGAGGAAGTTGAGCTGTGGCCTGGCCTATAGGAGTGTTCAGAAGGTGGGGATGTCCTTCTTGAGGAGGCTGCACTCAGGATTTATGGCTTCAGAAATGGGCTGCTATCCCTGCCTAGATGTGAAAACATTGGGAGCCAGTATAGTGAAAGACATTTCATGATCCAGCCTAGTGCTTGACTTTTGTAATCCTTTTCTCAAAAATTTGAAGTCATGGAAACAGGTCAGTTTAAACAAACACATTATGAACTCTCAGGGTTGGAAAATAATCCAGGAGTTGCTTAGTTGTCCACTGTCTCCAGGACACCCAGCATATTTGAGGATGAGCACCTCTCTTTGTGTACCTCCTAGGGATCACCTATGCCTGCTTGCATAACACCGATGACAGGCAGCTCGCTGTCCACAAGGCACTTCCTGACAGTTGGATGGTGCTGGCTGTTCAAAAGTTCTGCCATTGCTAGATCTTAGTTTCAGACCTTCCGTCTCACTCAGATGTTTATCCTTGCTTTCAAAATAGTCACCTCGAGAGGCCACTTACCTTGAAAACATTACTCAGATCCCCTTAGGGATCTGTCTTTGGAAACAAAGTTGGCTCCCTTCCATCCCTGTACGTCAGCCCCCTTTTGTTATGGCTCTGCCTTGTTTGTGACCCCCACTTCTCCATCCTCCTCACTAGCCATAGCTCAGCATGCCCCCTGACCATTCTCACTTGGGAGCTGAAGATTCACTGCCAAGGAGAGCCAGAGGAAGGAGACATGTTCTTGAGTGGACCGTCACACACTTCTCTCAAGGAAGCAGCCTTCCCCTATCGTCCTGGCTAGTCCTAACTAGCCCATGAGCCTTCTTGGGGTGCCATCCAGGGTGAGAAACTACTACTCAGTGGGTGATGAGCCTCCAAACTGCTCGTTATGATTCGTCCCTGGACTGAGTATGGCTTTGGGAGTCATTGAGTCTCCTCCAGTAGGGAGGGCTCTCAGACAGCCAGGAAAAGCTGGTGACACAGGCATCCACAGCAGGTGGGCCAAGGCTTCCCATGGTTGCATCCTTTGAGTAGGGAGTTTGAACTGGGTCATGGGCAAAGCCAGGGCCTTTAGACAACAAAGGCCTTTCCCTCCATACAGTGGGACCCAGGAGCTTCTAACAGCCGTTCTAGGCCACTAGGCCTGGTACTCTGGAAAGCCCCTCAAAGAGGACCCAGTTTGGACCAGGCAGCTGTGACCACAGCAAAATAATTCAAGGATCACCACTCATAAATCACCACTGCCCTTTTTCTGTCCATAATGCTTTGCTTTCTCCATGTTTTCGGTGCTTCCTAATTCAGGCAACCTGACTTTAGACAAAGTATGCAACCTGTGAAGCCATTAACATGCTATGTGACTTTATGCAAGTCCCTTACTTCTCTGAGCCACCTCCATCTCTTCATCTGTGAAATGGGCATAACTGCAATTAACCCTACCTACCTCACAGGGCTGTTGTGAGGATCAAATGAAATAATGTATGTGAGAATAAATGACAAATTATTACTATTTTCTGTCTGTTTCAAAGGGGGAGGGGGAACCCTAGTCTTGAATCAGACAGACTCAGGTTTAAATCCTGGCTCCACCATTTGCTTTATAACCTTGGCCAAGTCACTGAGTTTCTCTGATTTGTTTCCCCATTGAGTAACAACCCCTACCTCCCCAGGTTATTCACCTTAAAGAGTTGGTGTGGACTGGAGGTGTGGCTCAAGTGGTAGAGTGCCTGCATTGCAAGCATGAAGCCCTGAGTTCAAACCCCAATCCTACCAAAAAAAAAAAAAAGAGTTGGTGTGTGTGGAAACCCCAGCTAGGCCTGGCACACAGCTCAGTCAAGGCTCTATCAGGAGGTCACTATGGGGAACTGCTGGGCAAGAGACAAGATCCCAGGATAGTACAGCTAACAAACCCTTATAGAGCACTAGGTGTACAGGCCCTTAGGACAGGGCAGCCTAGAAAACACTGAGGGCTTCACACATGTGCTGTGGAACTTAGGGAAAGGACACAGTTCTTAGAAAGGGGTTTCTAGACAGTGGGACTGGGCCCTTGAGGGTAGGATAAATAGAGACTGACAGGATAGGCAAGCTGACATGGGCACAGAAATGGCAAGAGCAGAGACCTGGCAGCCTGACAGGGAAGGTGATCAAGGGAGGATGAGTATGAGCCTCTGCAAGGGGAAATGGCAGGAACAGGTGTGTGTTTAGAATAATCCCATCCTGCCCACATCTGACAGGTGAGTCCAGCCATCTGCTTAGCAAAACTGAGAAATGGGGGGACACAGCAGTGCAGATGGTACCATCCCAGCAGATGAGGATGTGGACTAGAAGCAGGGCCGTGTGCTGCTGTTAGCTGCCTCAGCTACACCCAGCCATCTCAGCTATACCCAGGTTAGCTTTACCTCAGCCAAGGGTTTCATCCTAGCCATAGGATCAACTCAAGGCTTGTATCAGCTTGTCCACTCTGTTCCCACCCTGGATACTGTCCCACCCATGCAGAGGGACAGCCAGAAAGGATGCTACAGGGAACTCCAAGTCACCTAGGAGTGACCACCACTTCTAATAGGGTCCCTGCATGTTGGAAAATCAACATGGCTGCTACCTCACACATCCCTCTGTAACCTCACACCTCAGGACCACCGAAAGCCCTTTGACCACTGAAGGCCAAGCTTCATGACCCTATTCTGTCTTTGGGCCAGAACTAACTGTGCAGGGGTGGCCAGGGACTTCGCACGCTTGGTCCATACCTCAGTGCTCAATACAGCCTGCAGCCCAGAATGAAGCCACCCCACCCTGTTCTGTAAACCACTCTGTGACCTAGATGATAGCATTTAGTCACCCTGATTCCAGCTTCCTTTTACAAATTACTCCTAACACAGTCTGTGTGAATGGGGGCTCAGCCAAGGTCAATTTGTGGCCAGAGCAGCAGCCTGTCCCTTTCTTGGACTGCAAACTCATCATTCTGACCATCTGTGTCTGCCTGGATCCCAGAGGGCTCAGGGCTGATGGTGGCAGTTGGCAGGGAAATAAGGCCCTGTGATCATCTCCCAAAGCAAAATCACCTTGATAACAGGCCCATCCAAGGGAAGGGCTGGACTGATTTCTAAGCCCTGTGGATCCTGGCTTTGGCAGTACCGTCTGCCCAAACAGCTCAGAACCCTCAGTCTCCTGCAGAACTTTTGGGACAGTATGGCACCAGCAGATATGTAGAGACAGTCTGGTGAAACACTTGCCCAGTCTGGGACCAAAAGGGGCCCCTGAGGAGCAAAACTGACTGAAGGAAGCAGGAGCATCCACAGCACCCAGAACCTACCCAACACAAAACAGCAAAACAGGCTTTGAGCTACTGCTCCCTGGCTGAGTCTCATAGGCAGTGTGTCTCCGCCTCAAGTATCTGACACTTCCCTCCCAATATACAAAGCATTTCAACGCCTTTGCCAACATTTGCCAATTAACTCACAGCCCTAGAATGTTCTAGCCCTTTCTCTTTCCTATGTCAGGTCCCTCCCCAAAGCCCAAGCTCCCTTTTACTAGGAGTTGAGTAAAGGCCCAGTTGAGGCACATATGAAACCCTTTAGGGATGGGTCCCATCCTTCCGCTCTCTGCTTAGCCTCGCTTTCCTGGCTCCACCAGGTAGCATCAGTCCCAACTGCTGTTTGCTACTCTATACCTGAGGAAGATGTTTCTAATCAAACTGCAGTGTTCACAGGCAACGTGGTACTGATAAATAGTCAACAACCGGCTCCCTGAGGGTAAGCCCTGGTCTGGAGAATTGACCAATTCTTGTGGTGTAATTGTACATATTATGGTCGATTTCAGGCCATCAATGTGATGTCACTGATAAACTGTCACTGAACTGCATGCTAAGAGAGCAGGGGCTCCACCTTGCAGTGTCACCAGTGCCTAGCACACAAAAGGTGCTCCATCCACGTTTGAGGGCCCTCTGCCTCCTGAGAAGTAAAACATCTCTAGCCCTATAATGGCCTCTCTTGCTCAAAGTCTGGCTCAAAACTTTTGCTATAGGACAAGAAAAGACCCAAAGTTCCTACCTCTCTGCTGACAGGTGGCAGCCTTCTAAAGCAAGTTAAAGATGCTGGAGTCAGAGTAAATCAGATCCATTCCAGCTTGGTCATTTACTGGCTAGGCAGTTTGCTAAGGTAATAGCTGTAGCTTTTGAACGGTGCCTAGAGCATAGTAAGTACTTAGTGCTGGAAATTATTATAACAATATTATCATGACTGTCTGTCCTCACCTTCGATTGCTGGTCTGTTGCCCACTCCCTGAGTGTCTCCTGCATTACCTGATCTTTGCCAAAACCATTCCTATTGTTTAGAATGCCCCACCCTCTCTCCAGTGACTCACATCCTGTCTGTCCACAGTATATACCATACTCACGCTCCACCCACCTCCTCACTGAGCCCTTCCTCCTCCGGGCTTATAGTTGTCCTCTCCTTGGACCTGAGAAACTGATCTCATTACACGTTGTTTATAGACAGAATGTTTGTGTCCCACTAAAATTCATATGTTGAAACCAAACCCCAGTGTAATGGTATTTGAAGGTGGGGCCTCTGGGAGGTGATAGGGTTGGGAGATTAGTACTCATGAAAAAGACCCAAAGGACTGCCTTTTTCTTTCTACCATGTGAGGACCCAGGTAAAAAGAGGGCCACATATGAGCCAGGAGACGAGCTGATATAGCTTAGATACTGAATGTTCCCCAAAGATCCATGTATTAAAGAGTTGGTCCCCAGGTAGTGTCACTGGGAGGTGGTGGAACCTATAAGAGGTGGGGCCTAGAGAGACATCCTTGGGTCACTGTGGGCATGCCTCCAGATGGGACTGTGGGACCCTGGTCTCTCCCTCTCTCTGCTCCCTGGCTTGAGATGTTAGCCCTCACTCTGACAAGCACTCCTGCCATGATGTGCCACCCTCACCAGAGGCCCAAACCCATGGGGCTGCCCAATCTTGAACTTGGACCTCCAGAACCATGAGCAAAAAAAGCCCTCTTTACTTCATAAGAAGCCTATATCAGGTATTGCATTACAGTGATGGAAAGCTGATTAATACACAATTTCTCAACAGATACTGAATCTGCTTGTGACTTGATCTTGCACTTACCAGCCTCCAGAACTGTGAGAAATAAATTTCTATTGTTTAGGGGCTGGGCGTGTAGCTCAGTGGTGATCATTTGCCTAGTATGCACAGGTCCTGGGTTTGATTCTTAGCAACAACAATTATTTTAAATTTTTTATAAACCACTCAGTTTTTGTATTTTGTTATAGCAACCACCTGAACTACGACATTTACAAACTTTTGTTAAACAATATGCCAGATTCAGGGGTGCACTCTGTGAAATCACAGATGAACCCTGCACATGCCTCCCTTGGGGAGTCTGGTAGAAAAGAGAGGCAGGTAAACAAATTTCAATATGGTGGCTCCAGGCAAAGTGGACCTCAAGATAGGATGGGCAATTTTAGAAATAGCCCCTCAATGCACATACCGCTCCACAACCTGCAAAGCACCTCACTTCTTTTTCTTTTTTCTTTCTTTTTTTTTATTGGCAGTTCTGGGGTTTGAACTCAGGGCCTCACACTTGCTAGGCAGACACTCTTACCACTTGACCCACTCCACTAGCCCTCTTTTTATGATGAATTTTTTTTTGAGATGGTGTCTCCTGAACTACTTGTCCAGGAGGGATTCTAACCACGGTCCTCTTGATCTCTGCCTACTGAGTAGCTAAAGTTACAGGCATGAGCCACCATAACAGATTAGAAAGTGCTCTATTTCATAGATGACAAAACTGGGGCTCAGGAAGATGAAATGACTTGCACATTGTCACACTGCCTGTAAGTATAGTACCCAACACACAGTAGGCCCTTGGATTTTTTTTAATTGAATTAAATGTCATTTACTTTAATTCTTGCCAAGACAAGACAAGAATCCAATCTGAATCCTTCAGGATTATTTCACTCAACTGTGAGGTCAAGGACAGAACCAGGCTTCCAAGTGCCAAGACTCTGCCACTGGTGTTCCAGATGACCTTGAGCAAATCTCTTCACTTTCTTGTCCCTAAAGCTTCCCTGGCAAAATTCAGCATGACAGAGTTCGAGTCTACCAGCTGGAAGTCTCTTCTAGCCAAAACTGGATAGAATTACCTTCCTAGCCATGGAGACCTGGCAGAAAAGACCACAAAATCCATGGCAGGGCTCTCACGGGGGCTTCAGGCAAGGCCTGGCCTCTCGTGCCTTCTACCACCCTTTCATCTTGTGATAGATCAGTTCTATGGTCTCTTTTTTTTCAGTGTCAAACACTGGACCTTATTAAGTGATGTTGGGGATAAAGTGACCTGTGAGTCCACACAGGAAGTGAGCCTAAATACCTCAAATTGTACAGACCTCCAGTGACACTGCCCCAAGTGGCCAATGCTGGTTTTCACTTCATCTAAGATAACTTCAAGACACAAGTTTATTTTATGTTCCACTACATAAGAATAGAAGAG